TCAAAAATAATTCACACCATGCCAAAGCACAAGTAAAAGTAAAAAGAAAATTCGAAAATGTTAAAAGTTTGGCCAAGACACCAATGACTGTAAAAACTTCATCAAAAGTATTTCCTTTTACTCGAAAAGAAGCAATAAAATAATCTATATGATGCATTATTTCATCAAGAGAAAAATATGTTGAGAAAAAATCAAAAAAGTTAAGCCCGATTGAAGCTATAATTAAATCCTGGAAAAGCCCTTTATGTTGGTGAAGAACGGTTTTTGGTAAAGAAATTAGTGTACACAGAGAAAATGCTTCTAGCCATTTTGATACCTTTTTAAAAAATAATTAAATATTAATTTTAATATTTTAAAGAGAGAAGGAAGGGGTCACTCACTCTCAAATAATGGGGGGGGGGCTCTCTTTGATAAATAAATTATAAATAGTATAACATACAATATTTAGTAATATTGGGGCATCTAGAAGAACAACAGCTTCTAATAAAGAAGTACCACTTCCATTACTTCTGAAGAAATAAAGACGTTCAAGAAATTGGGCTAATGAAGCTGGGACCATAAATGGCAAGGTTGTAAACATCATTAATTTATCAACAAAAGAATCAGCTCTGTATATGACATCTAATGTTTCACAAGGAATTTTCCTTGTCCAATTGTAAAGCTTAATTTTAATTTTAATAATAATTTCAAAATTAGTGTGGCTTATAAATGAACTAATAATCTGTTAATTTTATATTAACTACACAGTAAGATATATAAAAATAACCAAAATTCGAAGAACAATTTGTGTTAAAGCAAAAACAAATTTAGTAACAGAGACAGATTCATTAATTAAATTATCTGAAGGTGATTGTAATATAGGTATTCCATCTTTAACTCCATTCATTCTCAAATACAAATAAAAAGAAAATAACCAAATTAAAAATCCCATCCCAAACAAAATTTTAGATAAATTTTTCATTATATTTTCACTCCAGCTGGGAATTGGTGGAGCATTTAGAGGTTTTGCTGGGTGGCGAATACTTCCCTTAATTTATATTTTTTGAAATCATTTAATTTTAATAAATTACCTCAGGTAATGCCATGTTAAAAACAAAACCAGGCATTTTTAAAGCAGATGTTAACTAGAAATAAAAAATAAAAAGTACGTCCACCGCTTTCCGCAAAAGGAAGTTGCAATTTATCTCTCATTTGCAGAATTCTGCACATTTGCCACTTTCCTTTAGCTTTCCTCAGGTTATCAAATAATTATATAGACAAAGAGATAGTATTTGGGATATCATTTTATAAGGATAGGGCTTGGGAGAAAATTTATTCTAATATTTAATTACCATTTTCTTTTTAGCCAAAAATTCAGCTCTTTTCTCTCCATAACCACAAACTAGCCTTAATATATTTTTTTAATTATTTAAATTACAAGACAAAAATAACCAATGAACAACAAGTAGAACAGGAATAAATTCTGTAGCCAAACTAATAATTCCTGGATAAAGAAGATTTTTACTTAATCCAACCCAAACAAGTTCTTTTTCTGTTGATGCATTACAATAATTTCTAAAAGAAAATTTTTTAATTTAAAAAATAATTTGTATTCTTCACATATTTCCCTGAAAATGACTATGCGTCTCTTCTGGGCAAAATATTTCTAAAGCCATTTGAACAGTCTCATCTTGACATAATTCCTTAAGAAAATAATTATTAGCTTAATTAAATATCAAAAACATACCTCAATTGTTCCATAAACTTTTGAACCTATTAAATCAAGACGGAATAACACTAAAGTAGTGTTGAACATTGTACGTGTCAGTGTATCAAAACAAGTATTTAATGAACCAAAATTAGCTCTTTAAAAATAAATCATTAGGCTGGTAATTTACCACGAGTCAATTTTAACTCGAAAAGGGTTAATAAAATGTGTGTATTATAAGGAAGTATTTGGCTAATAAAGAACTTTTTGTTTAATTATATTTAATAGTTCCTCTAAAAAAATTTCCAGTTACCGTCTAATAAGGTAAAATACAGAAAGTATAGCAAAAACAACAAGTCCTGCACGTTGTGTTGATCTAATAAGTAAAGTAATTATATCTCCATCACTAACATGTGGACAATCTTGAAATGCCAGTTTAAATAACTTTAAACAAAAAATCCTTTTAATTAATTTATTTTTTAATCAAACAAAATGAAATGCATATCCCATTGCTACAAGTGTACCCATTACAATCATACAAATAAAACTTGGCCAAGGAATATCATATGGATCGTCCAATCTTGGCATAAAATGAAGTTTATAAAGGAAGATTGACAAAAATAATATGGAGAAAATGACACAAATTGTTAACATCTGTTGGGGAATTTAAATTGAATTTAGTGCAAATAATATTATTAATTTATCGGGAAAACTGGATGGATTAATTTATTAATTGAGAATTCGAAAATAAAATTATCTTCAATCCGCTAGATTTGTAAATTTGAAATTATTTAAATGTGTGAATAAGAAAATCAAATAGATTTAAATAATTTTCATTAAATAAAAGCTTACTAAATGATAAGGAATTGTAATTCCCTTATATCTCCAAAATAAAACTAAAAAATAAATTATCATTCCAATTGCTGGAGCAAAAAGTCCATCAAACATCCACCAATATTTTCGCATTTAAATTTTAATTATTTAATAACCAAAATATTATTTTATTTAAAATACTTTTTTACAAATTCTAAAATATTTTCCTTTCTTTTTAAGGTTTTAAAGGTTGTTTTACTCGGTTTTAAACAGTAATAAAGTTGGTTTGTAAAAATGTTCTAATCCTCTTGACTCCACTAACATTAAAAATTTCCACACGTTCATTTTACGCATGTTTGAAATAAAAATGCCGCTATGGAAACGGATATAATTTAGTTATAAATAGAAAAGAAATTTTAATTTCAAATAACGTTATTACGTTGTTAAATTATAAGAAAACAGCTACGGCCACAAAATTATTTTAATTTGATCAAAAATGTTAAACAAAAAAGGAACGAATATTAATTAAAGTATAAATCTAATTAAAGCATATTAATTAATGTATAAATTAAAAGTATGTAGAAACCTTATAGTAAATTATACATAATTCTAAATAAAGAGTTTTAATAAATCAAATATTAATAGATGCTTTAAATTATTTAAGTTTTATGGTTTCCTAATTTTAATTTTGATGTCATTTTTAAAGAATGATTTTATAGAATAAGTTTTCTTATAAATGAACAAAAAATCTTAATTATTTTTGGGACAATTTGTAAATCAAGTTTACTTTACTATATTATGTTCATAAAAACAATATTAAACAAATCATACATATTTACAATTAGAGATCTACGTATTATTAGTTATATATATATGTACAATATTCTCCATTCTTTTATATCGCTGATCTCGGGGAGATGAACACAGAGCGTGGCATCGATTCGGCACTTCTAGCGGAAGAATTTGATCTGTTACGTCTCCGACTCATGCTCCTACTTCGACTTCTGTTCCTACGTCGACTCCTGCTTCTTTGCCGACTCCTTCCTCTTTGTCGACTCCTGTTACGACTACGACTCCTTTCTGATTGTTGCCTATCTCTGCGTCGATGCCTGCTCGTACTCCTATTCATGCTCCGACTTCTATGTTGTCGTTGACGACTTCTACTCCCTAAAATTTTTATTTTAGCTTGAAATTTAAGGTTTCTATCTACTTGAGCCTCCACCAGTATTGTTAGAAGATACGGACAAAGAGGAGTTAGTCCGCCGCGAATTATTTGAGATAGCTGGAGATTGCGAATTTCGCCTATGACTGCTACTTTCACGTCTTCTTGTGTTGTAGTTATCGGATTTCCCTTCAGTCTCACGTGCTTGTCGTGCTAAAGCATCAGCCTAAAATTGCAAACAATTAAATCAGGAATCAATGACAGACCATTTCATTCCCTTCAATACCCGTATGCCCAGGAACCCATCGGAACAAAACACCACGAGGGAATTGTCCAGCAACATCTCTCAGTCGTTGATAATCATCAGAAAAAGCCCAATCGCTACTGTCGGACTGCAATCCACGAACAATCTGTATATAATCAGAGTTTAGATCCACATTTTCGCCACTAAAAATTTTAAATTACAAACAAAAATAGTGAGAATATCACTTGTATGATGACCATCTTAACAAATTGTTTAGACCAATTCTTGCTGCCATCAACTCGGCCAATCCGCTGTTAATCACGTTCCGTAAATAAACGCCTCTGTTTAAGGGATGATCCCGGCCGTAGTACATTCCAATCCCAGAACCTCTATAATGATCAGTAGAGCCATCAGTGAATACCTTAAAGATATTTAGAAGCCATTATCAAATTATTTCACTAACTTGAATGGTTGCTCTATCAGCAAATCGGTTCGGTCTCTCGAAGAATACCACACTTTCATTGATTGCAATGTCTGAAGCTGCTTTTCTGATTTGTGCAGGGTTTGCAGAATTGGCATGTCTAGAAGATGGAGGTACTGATACTGAGCGTCGCATGTGTTTTTCAAACGAGTTGTTGTTGGAGTGCTTCAAGCCACCTCGGAGCAATCCCAAAGTTGAAGTGAGGTCTCGAGAAGAAGGCCTCGTCGTGACGAAAGGGTGTTGACCAACGGATGAGTAAGTTTATGTTAGCACTGAGTGAGCGGATTCTAGGTTAATAAAATTTAATTTTTATACTACCATACTTATTATCCTGGAATCTCTCTTTTATCTCTAAAAGGAATTCATTGGGTACTGTAATCGACTATTTTTGATTACGGTTTTTTGCTTCAAATTTTTGCAAAAATTTGCAAAAATATCTGGCCTAGTATCATCGGAGTTGAAACGAAATAGTACACTTAAAATTTGAAATTGGCGAGAGAAAAAGACTAATTAGCTAATTATTTTCAGGTCATCGGTTTGTTGCAGCAATTTATTTTTATATTTTTCTTAATTCTGGAACAATCAACTAACATCTTTATTCAAATTAAAAATAATGACATACCGAAAAGTCTCCCAACAAGATTTACAACACCAATCTAGAGGTACATACTAGGCTTTTAATAATTAAAAAATAATTTTTCTTAAGAAATCCGTTCTCAATTATTTGAACAAATAAAATGTTTGGAACAACGATCGAATGATAAAGTTGCTATATTTCAAGAAATTAATGATTTCCTCAAAAAACGTGCAGAATTAGATTTGCAATATTCAAAAGAGCTTGACAAACTAGTTAAATCTGTTATGATGAGACACAAAGCTGAAAGACAAAGGTAGGAGAATTTTCTTGATTTTGTTTTAAAAATAATTTCTTTAGACGCCCTAATTGGTCTATTTATTCAATCTGTAATTTATGGCAACAAATTGTGGATGATGCTAAAGATGAAGCTAAACAACGTTCAATAATTGCTGATGTATTTTTCTTAACATTTCTTTAAAAATTCTAATTTTTCTTTAAAAGGTTTGTACAAATTACATAATTCCAGGAATTAATAATAAATGTAATTCACTCCAAAAAATGTCTAAAAAGGTTTTTAAAATATTTTTATAAAAATAATATTTAAAGTGTCGTGATATTGCTCTTCTCGCGGCTGGGGAAGTTATGCGCGTTCTAAATGAGTTTTTCTAATTAACTTTGATTTTAAATAATTTTCTAATTTTTAGGCTCTCGTTGGCTATGAAAACTTATCACGTAAATTTATTTTTTAAATTAACTATTTTTTTAATAAATTTAGAATTGCTATAATGAATTTTCTGTTTTGAGCGCTAAACTTCATAATGCTGAAGAACAAAAAAGAAAAATAATGGAGGCAAATAGTTCACTACGAAAGCAGAATTCTATACAAAAAACTTTTGAAAAAGTAAGAAATTTTAATTTTAGTTTTATTTTTAATTTTTTAAGAGAAATGAAAAATATGAAATAGCTAGACAAAAATGTATGCGTGCTCGAAATGAAGTTTTTAAATTTTTTTTTGTTTTAATTTTATTTTTTTGAATAGTATCTTCTTTGTATTGATGCGGCAAATTCATCTCTTTACAAATATTTTGCTGATGATGTATCTAATATTATTGATGTTTGTTATTTAAATGATATTAGTAGGCATTTGGAATAGCATAAGTTGTCAGATTAATGTTGTTCTCTTTCTGTTTGCCTAAAAGAATCTTTTGTTTCTCTTTAAAGTCCAACTAATTTCCTCTAATCTTTTTAAAATTTCTATTGCCTTCCCTTATATCTATTTTCAATAATTTTTATTTTTTTTCTAGTGTGAAGATTTGGGATTAGACTGTTGGCTCCGCATGATTCTTCAAAATTTAATTTCTGCGAGAAAATCAGCGTGTCAATCGGAAATGAATGGTTTTTCGTTATATTTTTTGAAAATTTATTAAATAAAATTTAATAGCACTTGCAAATCTGAGTGGATTTCGTGACTCTTTGCAATCGAGAGATGATAAACAACGATTTTTTGAAAGCAGCAATCAAACATTTATGTTGCCAAAAAGATTTGATTTCAAGTTTGATTAATTTTAAAATCTGTTAATTTAATGATTTTAGATGCGAGCAGAGCGAAACAATTTTTGAAATTTCAACAAACGATTTAAGAGAAGAATTTAGACAACGTCATAATCAAATAAGAAAACGTTTAGAAATTTTGAGAATGGAATCTGAAGGAAGTTGGCAAAAATTGGTTGAAATGGAAAAGAAAATGCAAGGTTTTCTCCTTAAAAGTGTTCTTCGTTAAAATATCTGAAATTATTTAGAATTACTTGCTGTGTCTACAATTGTTGAGATTAATGAATTTGGAATTTCTGATAAAAGGCCATCTACTGAATTGGTGGAACAGGAACTTAGCAATATTTTTGAATCTTATTTACAAGTAATTTTTGATAAGTACATAATTATTAGATCGTTCTTTAAATTTTTCTTTAAATTTCTATTTCATTTTTTTATAATCTAAAATAAGTAAAATTATTAAAATAATTATTTTAAATTTAGTCATTCACATTCTTTCTTCTCAATGCTAATTTAATCTCTCGATTAGAAGCTAGAGCTAATGGAATCAATAATGGATTAAAATGTAGAAATATAAATGTGGCTTCATCAAAACAAAATATTTCTGACGGTGATAGATTGAATGGTTTACTTTTGTAAATAAATTTAATTCTATTTATTTTTAGGTAATTCTTCTATTGAGAAAAAATCCGACACCGACGGATCTGAAATCGAGACAATAATTCATCAAAGACCAAAAAGAAGAATTGGGTCTCAAACTTCAACAGAATGCCAATTTTCTTCCCCTTGGACATTACGTCCAAAGTTATTTGGAGGTAGTTTGGAACAATATACAGGTTTTTACTAGTTTATTGCTAAATTTTGGTAATTTCTAGATGGCACTGGGGAACAAATTCCTCTTGTTGTTGTAAGCTGCATTCGAGCGCTTTCTCTATTTGCACTACAACATCAAGGAGTATTTAGAATTAGTGGATCTCAGATTGGTTTGTTTTTAATTTTTTATTTTTTTTTAAATTTAACTTTAGAAATAAACCGGATGCGTGAGGCTTTTGAAAATGGTAACATCGTAAATGACCTGAGATTTATTAATTTTTAAAAATTTAGGGGAGGATCCTTTGAAAGACGTTAAAAGTGCAACAGATACTAACAGCATTGCTGGATTGTTAAAATTGTATTTTCGAGAGCTTAAAGAGCCTTTATTTCCTTTCTACTTATTTGATTTGTTAACAGGTATTTTTATTTCAATTTATTTTTAATGTTAATTCAGATTGTGCAAAATATCATAAAATCTCAGATTTTATTGCCCAAATTAGACCCTTAATAAGCAAATTGCCTCGTTCTTCATATATTCTTCTTCGATTTTTATTTGCATTCCTTAAACATTTAAGTGAATTTAGTGACGAAAATATGATGGTATTTTTAAATGTTTTTTTAGAATTTTTAAAGTATTTTTATAGGATACTTATAATTTGGCTATATGTTTTGGACCTACGCTTTTACCAATTCCTGAAGGAAAAGACCAAGTGAGAATTTTAATATTTATTTTTTTTTAATTTTTTAGGTAATTTATCAAAACTCTGTCAATGAGGTCATTAAAAATTTAATAGTCCATTGCAATGAAATATTCGACGAAAAATTGCCTGGACCTAAATATGAAAAGTACAACCTTAATAGCGGTTTAGATACTCCAGCAGATACAGAATTGGAATTATTTGTTGACGATGAATCAGGGTTAATTTTTATTTTTAAAAATTTTTCCTTATTGAGCACAAAAAAAAATAAAATTGGTAACAATTATTACTTATGGAAAAATACAAAAATAAAATATTTTTTTAGTATCGATGGATTAGATGGCGATGGAAAACAATGGAGTTGTGGAAGTGTTGAAGCTTCGCTATTTCCTTACAATTATAAAAACCCCCAAAATATAGTGCCTTTTTTGGGACGTCCTATTCAACTTCCCAATTTCTGTGAACAACCACAATTTGCTGAAACAATAAATGAAAGAGAATTGAATTTTTTAAATAGTGAAGACTTTAATCAAACCGGGTGTATTACAAGTCCAAATGCAAAAAATAGAGGTTGTTTAATTATTTCATTAATTGTTAAAAAAATTTTTTCTAACATTTTAGCAACTTCAAGAGAACAAAAGTTGACAGCTACGGGGAGACGAGAAATACAACCCGAGAAATTCAATGACGACTTTTACACCAAATATTCTTTAGAAGGTAGTTTTTTAGTTAACAATGGGGGGAAGCATATTAATTGTTTTAACTAATATCCAGTTGACCGAAGCATGGATCATGAAAAAACTTCATCAAGTAACATAATTATGGGCACAGAAAATGTTAGGAATTATCCTCATAATAAACTTTATTCTTCAATTGATAAGTGAGAATTTAAAATATTCCATTTAAACAATCATTTTTAGAAGCACAAAAACGACTGCCTCTTCTAATGTTCCAAATACAGAGGAGTTAGAGGTGAATGATCCAACTAGATTTCTGAGTTTCTATAATCCAAAAAATTTTCCCAATGAAAATGTTAACTCTCACAATCCTCGACAATTTGGAACAAATAAAGGTATAATTTTTGAAAGATTTTATTATATTAAATTTGCAAAATGAAGGACAAATGCCTTCCGCAATAGCAATTGAGGGAGGACGTCAATGCAATAAAATCGATGATTTGCTGAATAAACTTGCTTTGCAATCAAACGAAAAAGAAGGTGTTGGAATAGGAAAAAATATTACTAGATAAATTTTATACTAATTAAACACTAATTTCCTATAAATATAATAATTTAGTCCGATTCTCATATCTTTGTGCCCAATAATTTTAATTTAATAACTTTTCATTTATTAATTTTTGAAAATGAATCATTTAAATTTATCACTATTTTACTTCTGATTTTGTGATGAAAGGAAGAGATCCTTTTTTAATTTTTACATATTTGTGAAATTTTTTATTTTCAGATTTTTAGTTCTTTCTGTTATTATACATGAAAATGCCGGGTGCAGATCGTTTATCCAAGTCCTATGCTATTGTAAAAGTTGGTTATATTTTTTTTATATATTTGTAGCATGTATAACGGATTTTTTTCTATTCATAAAACCCGCGTTTCTATTCATGCCGTTAATTTTCGAGTTTAATTTGAATTTAAGTTTACCAGTTTGTGTCTGTCAAAATATTTTTGAATTTTAAGTTGCGAGCTAGAGGAAATGGAAGTGTAATTACTAAAACAATCACCAAATTGAAGAAACCTCTGGTATTTTTATATAAATTTTATTAACTTTCTCGTCTATTAATTTAATAGAATTTACAAATTCGTTCGTTAAAAGTAAATGGATTGCCACTGACGAGAGATGGTCCACATAGCAGTTCCGTTGATGAAATAATTGAACAGTTAGAAATGGCAAAGCAGTCAATTGGCAACGAAATGGAAAAGCAATTCAAGATGGTTATTTTAGAATGAATATTTGTTTTTATGTTAATGATATTTTAAGAATCCAATAACAGAGACTGTACTAAATGAAGATCAGGATTTGCCGGATAATTTTAATGTACACAATACTGAATTGAATGATAAATTTGAAGATATGCTTGTAAGTTTTTATATTTTGAATAACATTTTTGGACTTATTTTAGAGGCGTATTGATCAACTTCAACAACAAATTGAAGCAGTTCGTATGGAATGTAAAGAAGAAAGAGCAAATAGATTGAAAGTTTGCCTTTCAAGGATTTTCTAAATTTATTTTTATTTTAAAGTTATCAGAAGAAATGGATCAAAAATACAATTATGTACTCGAACGAATTGCTTCTTTGGAGAAAAAATTACAAGAGAGCTTTGGAAATAACCAGATAAACATGGATATTACACAAAATGCTTTGCCTTCCGAACAGGTAGATAATTAAATTTTGAAAATGACTAAATTTTTTGACATTCATTTAATTTTAAATATTTCTGAATGATATATTTAATTCGCTAAATCCTTCCTTTTGTTTGTTTGTTCTATTAACAATAGAAAATTATATTATTTTTATTCATATTTAAATAATTTATAGACCTATGAACTGATCAACCAAAATGATGATAATATTCCTTTGGTTGATTCTGAGGATATTTCAATCGACAACGATATTTCTGTTAGTTAAATAAGTACTTTATTGACTCAAAAAATCATTTATAGATAATGCCTCAACTCGAAAAAGCTACAGATTCTCAATTAGATGTTGAAATTATTGGCGAAGTCTTACATGATTATAAGATTGGATTACCTGCGTTTAAAAAAGAGAGTGCATCGAATCAGCTTACTGAATGGCCTGTTTTAACGTTGGAAAGTGATTATTCTGAAAATAATGATAAAACCAGTTCACGAAAGACTGTAAGTTCTCATACATTCTCGGGTATTGAACCTTAATAAAAGCATTTTTATAATTGTCACAGAAAACAAATATACGGTTTTATTACGGATCCTTTTTTAATTTTAGAAATTGCTTTTGAATTAAGAAAATTAGAAATACAAATATGAATACTATAAACATGAAACCTCACTTTAAAACATTCTAGCTCTTACTTTGATAGGTCTCAAACGAGTCTGAGGCTTTTCTATAATTTAACATCAATCATAACTTTATATTTTAAGATTATTCCAATTTGTATCAAAAATGAAAACAATAATGTTGTTGATCCTCGGCCGTCAACTAGTAAATACGGGAATTGAATTTGAATGATATCAATTAAAATATTCACGGGGCACTATATATACATTTGAATCCCTTTATAGCACCGCTGGTATATATTCCGAATAAGGTAATAGGTGAAGCAATAAATGGGGCTCACCTACAGCCCTACTTTTACATTAGAAACACCAAATTGTGTTATTTTTTAATATGTCTAAATGAAGCTTCTTCGACGTGATCCCACTTTTTGGCTCCATTCTATTGGCGGGACTATAACGAGATTCAAATGTGTATATTTTTATTTTGACCTTTTCAATTATTTTGTTACTTTTTCATTTTATTTTGAATTTTACTCTAAACTTTACCTTTTCTTTTACTCTTTTTAGTGAAAATTTGAAAACACCCCAATTTTAAATTATTTGAATAGTATGGATAATATTTTTGATTGTAAAGATAATTGTTTAATTTTTTACTTTGAAAATTTGATGTTTTTATCTAATATATGATAAACTTTGACTATTTATAAGTTCTTTCATTAGTTTCTTAGAATGACTTCCAAAATAGATATAAAATCTAAAATTATGTACACAAAAAAATTTAAAGACTATATTAGACAAACGCTTCATCATCATTAACCGGATTTTAATTTTCTAGTCGATTATATTTGTATAGTAATTTCAGGCACAGTTGTTTGTTGTGCCGTTCTGTATTGCACCTGCAAAAATGTTGAGGAGTTATTTAAATATCGTGGTTACATATATTTAAATAAGTTTTTGAGTTAACCTATTTCATACACATTATTTGGAAAATTGTTTTGCTGATTGGCTATTTGATTTGTTCGTATATGGTATGGAAAGTGTTTTGCTTTGCAGAAGGGGCATGTTAATATCTGAATTTTTTTAATTTTAAAATAAATTTTGTAGTAAACGTACTAAAAAGAAAATAAACCCAGCAGTTATAATTGCAGAATCTACACCTTGAACAACTTCCTCTCTTACCCAATTATCCAAAATAAAATTGGCAATAATTAAAACGATTGGGCCTGACCAAAACCTTTAAATTAATTATACAATATATTTTAATATTTATTGAAAACCCAACCAAAAAGTGCTAAAAATATTCATAAAAATGTAAAATCGTTTTTTGAGTGGGTATTTCTTTACTGTTACCTGAAATGTTAAAATAATTATTTTATAATTTGTTAATAATATGTAAAACAACCCAGCTACATCGTGAAAACCAAATCCATCCACAAATATTTAAATAAATAATACAATATGCCGGTACACTTTCTGAAATGTATGTTATTTGAGCTGGGTCGAAAATCTAAATTTTAATAAAATATTTTTAGAATATTTTATTTTCTTGGAAGTATTTATCTAATTTTTGTCCTACTATTATTGTCCCCTCTCACACCTTTCAATAGAGATTTTAAAAACATCCCCTTTTTTTGTAAATACTTACAATTATTTCCCATCCTAACATTAAAAGTCTAAGAACAAAATAAGCAGAAATAAAGAAAACAATTTTTATGCTTGAACATGTTGATATCTTTGCTCTCGTTATTGTATATCCTTTAGCTATTAGAAAAAGAAGAAGCACAAATAACACAATAGAAAATTGTCTGAAAATAAATTAGATTGTTTTTAAACTTAATTTTAAATATTTTTGTCATAATAACATTTCGATTAGGTATCTAATATAGAAAATATCAAATTTCGGGTGTTATGGTAATGAATGTGAGGTTTTTAATAGGTATATCTCTTTTTTCTTAATTTAGACCGAGGTTATTTGTGTAATCAGGTCATTCCCAATTGACAAACTCTAATTATAACCTTAAAATCATCGAACAAAATTTAAGCAAAGGCATTCCTTCCCCATCATCTGCATAACGATCAAAATGCATCCAAAGTAAAGTAGAAGCAATTAATTCACAAAAAAGTGAGTGAAGAAATAAACGAAATGTTATATGCAGCATTTTACGTTTCTTCAAAACATCTATAAAAATATTTTTTATTGAAATTTTATCTTTAATATATATAAAAACTCACAAGAAAAGATAATTGAAGAGAGTAAAACAACAATAATTAAAAATAAAAATAATAAAGAAATAGGTAATGCATCTGCAAAAATAGGTAATAATTTTAATTATTTACTAATTAAAATTAATTTACAAAATTCGTCAAAAGAAAAATGATATTTCCAACGATTTGTTTTATTATGAGAATTTGTCATTAAAAGAGAATATTCCAAATAAAGACCATTTTGTGAATCACAATTTCCTATTGCAAAATACCACCATCTTGGCCGCATTGAACTTTTAAAAAATATTTATTAAATTTAATTTATTAAGACTTTTTTGAGATTATTTTTATCAACTCTAGAATAATACCAATTACCGAACACTTATTAATTAATAGAATTAATCAAAAAATAATTCTTACAAAAAAGATCGTTTTCCAAAACAATGATACCAACTTTCATTATTCTTTTCAATTGTTTCGCAACTCGAATGTTCATCTATAAATTTAGCGCTTGGGGCAAGTCTGATTATTTGATAATTTTTTGGATCTAAAAGACGTTCTCTATCATTGCAAGTCTTGAAAATTTATTTAAATAATTAAAAATAATTTTTTTTTAAATTACTAAAGAAGCATTATTATAAGCAGCTTTCCATTGATTATCTGTATCGTAATACATATAAATTGATTGAAGTTCGAAATTCTGAAAAATAATTAAATAAATAATGAGTATAATTGTAGAAATATTTAATTAAAAATATCATATATTTTATTTAAAAATATTTTAAAAAAACTTTTGGATAGTAAATATTGTATTTAAATGTTCCTTCTTGAGATACAAAGCAGAATCTATCCAAATATTCCCAATCCTTTAAAAAATTTTTAATGAATTTTTAATTTTAATAATTAATTACAGACATTATTAGAAATTAATATTCCTGAAGATATTTTTCCTTCAACTAATTTAATTGAAAAACAAAAAATGACAATAATAATAAAAATATTATAACCCATTTATATTTTTCTAAAAATTAATACAAAATACTAAAATTTACATATTTAAAGCTTTTATTTAAGAAAATTTAAGAAAATAAAATTGTCTTATTGCGTGATAATTTAATTATTATTTCTTATTTATTTAAATAGGTTTTTATAATAGCTATGTACATATTATTATTATTAAAAAAATATTTCTAAATATTTTTTTAAAAATCAAAAAAAAATATAAAACTAAGAAATATTTAAATTCTCTCATATCTTTTCATTAATTTCTGTCACAAACTTTTTTTAAATAAATAATTTCCAGTCGCCTAGGGAAACAATCTTAAAAAATAAAAATAATGTATAAACATGAAAGGCTTTTATGTAGAAAAAAATTAAAAAAAACTTTAAAAGATTAATTTTAATTAAATAAAAAAATAAAATTATTTTAAAAATTTTCTTTTAATTTTTAATTAAACGAGTTTCCTTCTATATATCAAACTAAAAAGCTGATTCTGAAAAATATTAAAGAAAGATTATATTTTTGAACTTTTAAGAAAATTTAGGTTGGTGACTTCATCAATGGGACTTCGTCATAAAAAAGAAAACTTAATTTTATTTATATTTTCCTCTATGTATAATAACACTCAAAATTATTTTTGCTATAAAGCATGTCCCAGAAGATTCTTCTAATTAAATAACATTAAATAATTGACGAAATAAATTAAATTTTTGCTTCATTTCATTTTGTATACGAAACGATTTTAAAATCTTTGTTTTGTTTTTTTGAGAGAAACTTTTTTTGTTTCGCACATTTTCGATTCTCTTTCATTTTTTTCCATTTCCAGCAATATTTAGCAAATCTTCAATCGAAAATTTATCCGTTCCGATCTAGGGATTTTGTTGATTTATTTTAGAATATCCGATTAAAAACAAATTTGGATAAAAAGGAATGAAGTTTTATTTAAATATTTGCAAATAAACATGCAAAGTTTGATCATTTTTAAGCAATTTCTCTCTAATATTATTATTTAAAAATATATAATCCTTTTAGTATGTAGATGACCTAAAAATATAAATTTTAATTTAAATATTTGTATTTTTATATACAAAAATAAATTATTTAAAATATTTAAAATTTAAAAAAAAGTACAAATTTAAAAATAAATATAAATTTAAATTGTTTGCAATAAAATATTTTTTAAATTAATCATATTTCTTGATTATTCACTTTTCTTTTAATTTTAAACTTTTAGAAAAAATAAATAAAAATATATAAACATATTTATATGTACAATTATTTCTTTTTTTTCTAAATTTATCTTTTTTTGTTTTTTCTAAGTTAATCATTTTTATCAAAATATTTGTTGTAAATTTTTAAAAAATTTTCTTTAAAAAGTAAACAAAATTCTTTAAACATTAACATTTTTAAATAATTTAAAAATATTATCAGGGCAGTTAATTCAAAAATAATCCTTTTTAATTATTTAAACGTTATTTTTAAAATCCAAATTTTCTATTTTTATTATTTTTCTTCAAAAATTCTTCTTAAAAACAATTTAAAAAACATTAATATATCTTCATGACGCCTTCCCTAATTTTTTTTCTTTTTATTTAAAAAAGTTAATCTCTCAACAAAACTTGGGTTACGGAGACAAAAAAAGAATTTATTTTCTTTTCCCCACCAATTCCTTTCCAACAAATAGCCCTCAATTTTAATGTTCTCAATCCGACGACCTGAAATGAGGAATGAGAGATTTTCCTTTTTTTATTTCTCATCATTCCTCGAAGCTATTTGTAGCTTTGGATAAAAAAAGGAATTAAAGTGTGCGTGTAGTTGTAGAAATTGTTTTTTTTTCGATCGCGGATGAGTGAAAAAAAGTAGGAAAAGAGGGGGAAGTTGTTTCTTATTAGAAGATATTCAGTATATACTTGAAATGAAGAAATCGTTCAGTATTTAGATCTCAAATTGCATAGCTTAAATGTTGCTGATTGGTTTCTTTTTTTTATAATAAAATAAGGAAAACTTTTCTGTTTTTTTGTCTCGAAAATGGTTGTAATATAAATTTTAATAAAAACGAAATGGATATTATTTGATTGTTTAGGTTAATAAAATTTACACCTTTCAATCAATCTTAGCTAATCAAATTATATAATAAATCTTGCCTTAATAAAAATTTAGAAATTAATTTGCTTTAATTTTTTAACAATTTTTATTAATTTTTTTCTTTTATTCTCTTTTAATTTTTTATACACGAGGCGAAAAAATCGTTTACAGTTTTTAAATGTCACCATCCCCCATAAAGCCTCATTTTAAGAAAAACTATCCAGCTGATTTGTCTTGAAATGAGGGCAATTTTTAATTTAATATTTTAAATTAAATTAAATAAATCTTCTCTTTTTTTAATTTAATTTAATTATTTATTCAAAGGTAATGAAATTTAAAGATTTATTTATTATTTCAATATTTATTTTCTTCATTAATAATATTTTATTTATAAATACAGGTAGTAAATTAATTGTTCGAAATTTTTTATTTCTTCCAAAAATATTTTTTACATAAAAATACAGTTAATTTAGGGATTTTAAAGCTTTTATTTAGAGTTTAACAATAACTGCTTTAATATTTTAAAAACCTCCATTCGGGCTCAAAAATTTTTAAAAATTTATTTTTTAAAGTTAATGCCTTAAATTGTTATATCTGTGCTGAAGATGGTTTAGATGAAGAAGGTGAATGTAAAGATTCTTTTCCTTTTAGCTGTAATGGTTATGCTAAAAGATTTTCTAAAGATCAAAAAATGTTATGTCGAACAACTAGACATAAAGCACTTAATGGTTATCTAAATATTTATATAATTTTAATTTAAAGAAAAATTCTCCTTTAAAGGTACATTTACTGTAGTAAAGGAATGTATAATAGAAAATGCTCATTATGCCACATTTGAGAGAAAACCACAAAAAACTGAGATTGACTGTGATATTCAATTATTAGAAGGGTTTGAAGTTGCTTATTGTATATGTAATACTTCTCTTTGTAATTATCCTTCTATTGGAGAACAATTTGCTGAGTTTGAACAAGTAAATTTGCAAGAAAAATATTTTGATAGAAAAAACTAAAAGTTTTTATTAGAGAAATTGTTTTTAAAAAATAATTTAAAGTTTTCAATCAAATTTTGGAGGGTTTTAGTTTCTTTATAAAATCTCGAAGGATTTTATGGAAAAGGGGAAGGAAAAAACTGAAAAAGATTATAAGTAAAATCTCTAAGTCTCAATAAATTAGACAAACAACTCTAGCAATTTTATCTCCCAACAATTTACAAATTTAGTTGCTGCTCTAACAGACCAAGTTTTCTTGATTACCCTATAGCTAAATCAATCAAGTTTCCCTTTCTCAATTATATTTTTATTGTAATTAGAAAAGAAAAATTTTAATCATAAAAAGTTTTTCTAGTTAAGTTTTGGCAGTTTTAAATACTTTAAAAATTATTTCAGAAAAATCCAGAATTGTTTGATGATGTCTCTGTTGAAACAACAGAATTAATGCCTGATATAAATAAAAATAAAGAGGAAATAGAAGAAAATGAAGAAGAAAAACAATTAGAAAATCAAACAACTTTTAATCCAAAAATTGAAGAAATTGGAGAAAGATCAAAAGAATTATTTCCTGTTAATAATCAAAAAATTAGAGAAGAAGAGTTAGGAAAAGAATTATTGTCTTCAACAACTATTGGTAATTATTTAATTAATAAATTTAATTTATTTTTGTTTATATTTATTTGTTTTTATTTTAAATATTAAATTTTAATAAATTCCTTCTTATAATTAAATTTTGAAAAAAAAGAATAATTTTTTAAATGAGATCTAAATAAATATAATTTTTTTTAATTTACTAAAATGTAAATTATTATTTATTTTCTTATGTAATTCTGAGTCATTTTCAATAAATTAGCCAATCTTATTTTTTTTGTATATTTAAATAATGAATAAAATTTTTTAACAGAATTTTAAATAAATATTTTTTAATATTTAAGAAACTATAAAGAGAGAAGAAGATTTTATAAATAATGAATGGAATAATGAAGAAAATGAAAAAGAAGAAATAATAAAACAAAATAATTTATTAACAACCCCAAAAATTTCAACAAAATTATTTACAAAAAATTTAATTATAGAAAGGCCCAAACAACAAAGCCTTGAAGTTGATAATACACCTTTAAATGGGGATATTTTGGCATCTGGAGCTCAATTGGGGTTATTGCCAGGTAATTTTGTAAAGTTATAAAATATTTTTTTCTAAAATATTATAAGATTAACTCTCGTTACTAACGAGTTCTCAAATAAATTAATATAAATTTAAATAAAAATAATTTAATTTAATAAAAGAATTACAATGTATGCAATGTAAAGAAGAAACAAATAATACAAAAATAAATGCAGAATGTCATTCCCAAATAGTTGTTAGTTGTCCAGATTTAAGTAAACAAATAAATGGAATTGGCAGACCTTTTTGTATAACTAGACATTTTTGGATTGAACCGGGTAATTTTTCAAAAAAAATTTTTTTAATTAAAAAAATAATTTAAAGGAGGTAATTTAACAATAGAAAAGAATTGTTTGACAGAAAGAAAAATACTTGAGGAATATGGAAGTTATAAAACTGTTGATTTATTGAATGGGGCAAATAGGGATGAGGCAGCTTGTTTAGATTTTAGGCCGTCTTTGTCCGGTCAACAACAAAGACTTTGTGTTTGTTCTTCTCCTCAATGCAATAAAGTATCTCTTTCTGAGCAGGTTGAATGATTTGATATTTTAAAGGGAAAATAATTAAAGAAATATTTTTGGGAGAGTGTCTTATTCAAAGATTATAAAGATCTTCCAGCATTTTTAATTAAGGAAAAAGTTAAGCTGAGAGGGAGATTTTTGAGGGGTTTTTGTATATTTATAATACAATGTGAAATTAATTGCTAAATTAAACACAATAGATGTCTTTTGGAATTCGTAAAATAGCTGAACTTGATGAAATAGAAAATAAACAAAAAACAAATAAAATACAAACAATTAAAACAACAGAAAAAATAAAAGAAACAACAGAAATACCTTTAGAGGAAGAAATAATCGAAGCTTTAAATTGTGCTGTTTGTGTAGATAATGAATTGAAGTAATTTTTTGAAAATAAAAAGATTTTTAAAAATTAAAAAATAGTGATGCAAATGCTGATTGTCGAACTGTTAGAACAATTAATTGTGCTAAACAATTAACTAACAATGAAAAACAATATTGTATAACAAGACAAACACAAAACAGTAAAGGTTTTAAATTAATTGAAAAAAAATTTTCTTTTCAAAATTTTTCTAAAGATTCTTTTATTGTTGAGAAGGGTTGTATGTCAAAAACTCAATTCTCATTACTTTTTCCTGATGAAATTTCCGAACAAAATATTGGAAATGAATTACTTTTAGGTTGTGCATCTACACATAATGGTGATTATTTAAATTAAAAAAAAATTAAATTTAAAAATAAAGGTTTTGTTAATTATTGTATTTGTGATAGCCAAATGTGTAATAGATATGGAATTGCTCAACAAGCAGAAACTAGTAGAAGGTGAAATTTAATATATATTTTAGTTATAAATTATTTTTTTTAAATTATTCCTCTCTATTTTCTTTTTAAATTAGTTATAGATAGAAGACTAATTTTTAATAGTTTTTTGGGTTTAAAATCTCATTCTCTATTTTTGATACAAATTTCCATTTGAAATAGTCAGGAGGAGATAAATAATTTTGCAAAATTAACTAAACTGCTAAAAATAAAATTAGGATGAGAATTTTGGGGTTTGATTCTCAACAAAAAATTATTTGAAATAAAATATTATTTTTGTTTAAATTACTAGAATAACCTCCTCAACAAATCTATATAAAACATCCACTAAACAATTATTCCCCTCAACATCCACACCTCCCCCTCCTACAACAACAACAACAACATTATTACCTACTACAACTGAACAAATAATTTCAACAAAATCCTTCTTTGATGATTACACAACAAAAGAAAATAATAATAAAATAATAAAAGAGGAAAAAGAAGAAATTAATATAAAAATAATTCCAAAAGAAAATATTAATGAAATATCAAAAATAAACACAACATCAACAGAATTTCCTTTAAAAATTTTAAAAACAACTACAACAAATAATTTAGATGAACGATTGGAAAAATGGAAAATAAATACCCAAAAAAATAATAAATTACAGTCTAGAAATATTTTTGAAGAAGAAAATAATGGAACAATTAAAAGAATTTTAATGCCTTCAATATTAATTATTTCTTTTTTTATTATTGCTTTTATGTGCCTTTAATATATTTTTTTAATTTTAATTAAAGAATTATTTATATATATTTTTAGCTAATTCTATAAAATAAAATAAGGATATTCAATAAATATTTTTGTCAGAAATTTTTAATAGAGGGAAAACTTGTTTAATAAATTTTGCCTGTTTAATTAGAAGAAGACTAATTATTTTAATTAATTTCTATCAATTATAAATCATTTAAATATGTATAAAATAAATTTTGTTTAGTTTTATTTAGGTATCAACATTTCTCCACTTATTTATTCCATCAGCTACATAAATATAAGAGGATTATTTATCTGATCAAAATTTAAATTATCTCGATTTTAAGGGTTGTATTTCTCCACAATCATTTTCTCCTACGTTAATTTAACAACAAACCTAAAAATATCAGCTGGTGTATATTTTTAACAATGACTGTGAGAATAAAAAAAGAACACTGAAAATACATAAATTTTATTTAATCCATTAATCCCTCTAATAAAATATATAATATTTATAAACTTAGATTAGAAAAAATATATGGGAATTATGAGTCATAAATTTTTAATTAATTATTATTATATATTTTTTTATATGTACTATTTCCAACTTTTAATTTTTGTAACTGAGTTTATCTTTTAAAATGTTCAAAGATTAAATTTTGTCATTTGTGTTTTATTTCACATTTTAGCTATTATTTTTTGTAAAATAAATAAAAATAAAAATATATATTTATGTAAACAAAAACTTAAAGGTTTGTAAAATAATAATAATAAGGGGATTTGTTTAGGTAAAAGAATACAAAGAATGAATGAATCATCCTTATTATATTCAGAGAAGACAAACAATTGTTTTCCTCTCTCTCATTTTCTCTCCTCAACTACCGCGCATTTTCAATTAAAAAAAGGAATTATTTGTAATCCTCTTTTCGTCACTCTCGAAATTTTTTTAAATAAAAAAGTTTTTTTTCGGTCATTCGAGAATATTCGTTAGAAAATTGGGAAATTATTTTTTTATTTAGTTTATATTAAAAATATGTAATTTGGTTGTTAATTTATTTTTTATTTACTCCGAATAAAAATTAAACAAAATATACTTGCCCTTCATCACAAATTATTGAATTGAAATTTTTATTTAAATTTCATTCGTCCTCCCCATTCTCTCCATTTCAATCATCCTCCCCATATTTAATTTAATTTTTCTAAAAATTTTATTTAATTTTCAGAATTTTTAAAATTAAATTCAGAAATGCTTGGTTTACTAAAATCACCAAAATTTCTTTATATTATTCTTCTAATGGAACTTTTACTTATTAAATCAAATATGTCATTTATTTATCCAAATCAGAATGCTTTAATAAACAACGAGAATAAAATTGATTCTCAAATTGAGAAGTAAATTATTTAAAATAATTAATTAAAAATTAAAATATTTTAAATTTGTTTGGAATTACATAAATTAAACTTTTTTTGCAAATAAAAAAATAATTAAAATTTTAAGGACAAGAGTACGACGTGGATATTTGAAAGCAGCTGCAGTTGGAGCTGCAATGGGAGCTGCTGCATTTGCTGTTAAGAAAACATTTTTTAAAAATAAGAATAAAAATAAATATAACAATAATGGAAAATGATTTGAAAATTAATTTATAATTAATTTATAATTAAAATTAATTCATATTTTATTTTCTATAATTTTTATTTAATTAACAAAAACTTTTATAAAATTAATTTTTAAATCCATCTAAAATTTTATTCACTTTATTAATATTCATTTTAATAATTTACCCTCGATGAAAATTATTTTAAATCCTAGTCAATATATAATGGGTTGTCAGATAAATAATGAGCCCTTTGCGCATTTTTAGTCTTTTTTTATGTAAAGGCATTCGAATTTTAGTTAGAATTATTTTAAATTTACTAGAGTCGATAGTTCCAGCTTTTTTCTACTAGCCAGAACCATTTAAAAGATAAATTTTTATTTTTGCAGTTTTTTAAAAATTTTTTAAAATTATGTCCTCAAAATCTGAAATTCGGGATGTTATTTTGTTTTGCTTCAAACGCGGTCTAGGTACACCTCAATCCAAAAAAGAAAATGCCGCCTTGAAGGGCACAAGTTGGGCATCTTTTGCATCAATTAAGCGATGTTATAAAAAATTCCGTGATGGAGATATGGGTCTAGAAGCCAAAATCCCCAAATTTGGGCTAAATTTGGGATTTTACACTGGGAATTAACTCCTAAGGGCAATGGATTGCCGGGCGAACTCTAAAAAACAATATTGGACATAGTTCAGATTGCCATCGATGGTTTCACGTTCATTATGATAAAGTTGTCTTTCAACATGTAACTGCACCCTTGCGTCGCGCGAACGGAACTCGATCCTACATCACGGAGACACTCGGATGGGAACTTTTAGTTGATCCTCCTTATTCTACGGATATTGCGCCGTCTGACTAGCAGTTATTTCGTTAGATGAAAAATCATTTGCGGGAGGTGAGGTTCCTAAACTATGCTCAACTCTAAAATTGGGTTGCCAACCTTAATAATACCAAATCTGCCACTAAATTTTATCAAATGGGAATGCAAAAACTGCCAAGCAATAGGCTAGAAGTGTTAGATAATAATGGACATTAAATTGTTTTTTGATTTCATTTCATTATTCAGTTATAGTAAATTGTATAATTTATGCGCAAAGGGCTCATTATTTATCTGACAACCCATTATTTACAAAAAACTTTAGTAGAAAATAATAATATTTAAATATTTTTTATTTTTCGGGACAAACTGCTTTAACCTGCAAAAAATATTTTTTTTGGAATTTTAGAAGTCTATGAGGCCAGATCTCCTTTTTTATCACCACAGGCGAAAGTTTCTGGAAGGTCAAAATAAATTTTTCAAAGACAAATTATTTCCATTAGGAGTGTGAATCGCGGAAGAGGACAAAAATGTGGAAGAGAAAAAGATTGTAAAATGATAGTTTTGGACATACCAAACACAAATTCAAAAAATGGGACAAAAATTAGCTCATTTTATCCATTTATAAATATACATACATACAATAATATACAATATACATACAATATGAATTAATATCAATACAATATGAACAAACAGACTATCACATATACAATGTACAACTATCACAATTTCCGAGGGCATCTTTCTTTTCGCTTATTTCTTCACGCCAGCACCTGCCAAACGAATTGCCACGGCTGCTGCCACTGCTGCTCCGCGCCCACTCCCGTCCTCCGAGAGGACTAGTTTGAACTAAAAAATATTAAATAAAGCTCTAAAAAGTTTTAAAGGTGATTTTCTCACCTCATATTTTCCACCAGTCAGTGCCTCAATCTTTGTTGACAACAAGTCCTTGAATGTCGGGTGAGCCTTGTATAAGCTGCCATCCACGCCAATCGCGACTCGCTTCCGATTAATTCTTTGGAGAATGGTGGCCATCGCCACTGCGCAGAGATTGGACGACCTTGAGCTGATCATGGAGCAAACGTAGGCCACAACAGCACAGTCAGTTGACGACGGGGAAGCAATACCTGTGAAATATGAAAAAGATGAATTTACCCACCCCAAAAATGTATGCCCACGAACCATTATCTGACAAGAGCAGGCCAATCTTATGCAGCGGCTTTTCAGACTCGAGCACATACCTAAAGTTAAAGAATTTGCTCAACCAAAACTTTTAAAAATGGTAAAATCACCTCTCTACTTCTGACAGGATCCGGGTTGAGAACGATCCTTGTTTTCCAATAGCACTGCTGGTGACCGCTGACCCAGAAAAGAGAAGTCCTGCTTCTGCCAACTCGACCAACACAAGACGCACAAGCTCGCCCTTAAAGAAAATTTAAACCCTTATTGGAGAGATAGAAATCTGACCAAGTACATCCCGGAGATCATCTTCTCGAATGTTTGTTTGCGCGGATTTATGGAGTTGGCATCTAGCTTCCTGTCGTGCACCGTCCTGTACTTGTCGATCTTCCCGTCATCACCGAAGGCACCGAGCTCACAGTTTATGCACATTTCTTCAGGAAGTCCATCTAAAAACGAGAGAAAAATATTTTTCACACACGCATTCACCGCCGACCATTTACGCTGACCAAACCATTGAGTTTGCTGATGTTCTCCAAGCGTTCCATATAACAAGCGTTGCTCCCAGTCCCGACAATGAGCCCAATGGAGCAGTCAGGATCGAAGAATGAGCATGCCAACATTGTTCCAACGGTGTCGTTGACGAGCGCCACGACATTGACCGCGATGTTCTTCCGCCGACACGCATCCGTGAGCAATTGAACGACGTCTTTGCCGACAACGCCCGAGGCCTGAAAAGAAAAACAATTTTTGATTTTATAGCTGAAAATATATTGAGAAAGGCTCACACTGAATCCTTTGGTCCATGCGACGAGTGATGCCGATGCCAATCCTTTTTGCTGGCAAGGAAACGAGAAGGTAAATCCAAGCGGGAGCGTCTTGTTGCAGGAAAGCCTTTGCTCTACCATGAAGTTGTGAAGGCAGTTAGCGACATGGTCAAAGAGATGTTCTCCAGTTCCTTGCTGCAGCTCCTGTGGCACCGCATAGGTCACATGACTCATTTCTCCCTTCTTCCCGTCGCCGTGCAGGGTGATCAACAGTACTCTGAAGTTGCTTCCGCCCAAGTCTAGTGCCAAGAACTCCCCACTCTCCTTGCCCACAGAAGTTGCGCGAATGAACGACGGGAGCATTTTAACCACTGCAGTCTCTTCTGAAAACCGAAAAATCGCTGTTTCTCTTCTGAGAATCGAAAAATCAAAGCAATCAACGTACCATTTTGAAGCCCTTCTGCAAAGCTCTGCTCCAGGCGTTGCATGATCTCCCTGAGCTGTTCGTCATTCAGTTTGATGTAGCTGCAGTGCTCTAGGACCTGAATGGTAGAAGAAAAAAATGAATGCTCTGAGATGCTATTAGCATTTAAACCGACCTTGTTGAAATGTGCGATGTCGAACTCCTCTTTAGCTGCAAGTGCCGTGATGCTGCTCAACATGTTGACGTCCGAGGCCTGGCGCGATATCATTGCTGAAGGAGTGAAGCGAGTACTGAGCGTCGACGTAGATGACTGTAGATGATGAGTGTAGTTGAACTTGGGTATGGGAATTTTATATTAAGCTGCTTTTATAGTTTATTTCTGACTCTGGCCGTTATGTTCATTGCCTTAGTATATAAGCTGTTAGATTAGTGTTAATATAAGTCCCTGATCTCCTTCGTCCTTCGCAGCTCTCCGTCTTTATATTTTATTTAATTAAATCGTCAGTCTTGTCATGATACAATATTGGTCTCGTGTATAAGTAGCATCTATTTTATATTTATTCCATGCAATTTTTCTCGCGCAAGTTGGAGTAGATTGCGTTCTTCGCTGACAAAAATCAACACAAATCAGAGTTTCTAGATTTTCAGAAGAAGCCATTATTTCACTTTCTTAGCGCCACAGGCGAGTATTTTGAAATCTAACTTGCTTGAGACACGAAAATTTCACTCATTTTGAGAATTTTGGAAGGCCAAGAGCCAAACTTCCTCCATTAAAAAAAATAGAAAAATTCTTAGAACAAAATTAAAGTTTTGTTCATAATATTTGTTCATTTTTAATGTTTTCGGGCGATAAAATTTACAGAATTTTAATTTAAAAAATTATGAAATAAATATGTTCTATGTATCAAAGCCTTCTTAAATTAATAACTGTAATTATAGCCTCTTCAAATAATTCTTGTAATCCTTGTTTTCTATCAGCCGAACATTCAATATAATTTTTTGCTTTTTCTTTTTTTGCTAATTTAAAACCAAAAGAATTAGTTATAGGTAATTGCCCTTCTAATTGTAATAATTCATATGTTTTTTTGTCTGTTCTTAATTCAATCTTTAAAAATATTTTTTTTGTAATTTTTTTAAATTTAATTAATTATAACCTGTGTTCCAACTAACAAAAATGGAGTATTTGGACTTTTTCTTTTAATTTCTGGTAACCAAATAGTTTTTACATTTTCTAATGTCTGTGGTTTAACAACAGAAAAACAAACAAGAATAACATCAAATCGGATTTGTTTATAAGCTAAATGTCTAAGTTTGTCGTAACATGGTTGTCCAGCTAAGTCCCAAATTCTTTTAAATATTTATTAATTAAAAACAATTAAAGTTATTTTACTTTAATGTAGAAGGTGTTTCTCGGATTGTTGTCTAAATTTAAAAATTTTGTAATAATTTCGGATTTTTTGACGTCGGATTCGGGAAAAGTCGTGACCCGGTCCGTACAGTTTCCAAAGGAAAAATCAATTTTTCAGAATAATATTAAAAAATATTTATAATAATACTGTTTACAATTAGAATATTTGCTTAGAAATTGAGAGATTTGAGGGTCTGAAATCTCCCCAATTAATTTGTTTTATTCAAGATATTTCTTTTTAATTAATTTAATAAAAACAAACATTAATTGTATGTTCAAAAAATAAACAATTACTATTTTTGTGTTGTTCAGGAAAATAAGTATCCAAATAAGTACATATTAATTTATATTTTTCCGAAGATTCATCACCTAATAATAATATATTAAATGTATTTTTTGAATTTATTTGTGAATAAATTTTTTGTTGACTAGCAGATGATTTAAGTGGATTTGAAATGGTTGGTGGTGATGTTGTTTGTGTTAACATTTAAATAAATTTAATAAATAACAAAATTAAGATTAGAATATTTTTTTCTTACAAAAATCATAAACAATTGACTAAAATAATAATTTGTAGTAAATTAATTTTTTGTGTGACTAATTAATTATTATTTTACTTTTAATTTTTATCAGTAATATTATTTGTTAAATAAAAAAATTTCTTTATTATGATAAAAATTAAATAAAACAACCAATTTTTTTGATTAATTCACGGAAAGGGAGATGTAATAAAATTTGAAATTAAATTTTTTGTAAGCTTCTTAAGTGTATTTCAAAATAATTTAAGTTTAAATAAAATAACAGTTTAATTTTATTCTAGTCAAATAGTACATATGTACATAGTACATACATTAAATACATTAAAGGTATAAAGTTGTCTAAAAAAATTTAAAAGTAATTCTTAAATCCAAAATAGAGTAATAAAAAATTTATTTTTTTACATTAAAATTTATGTTTGAATAGTTAAATGATGAGTCAAAGCTTATTTTTTATATGTATGTATATGTCCATAATACATAAAAAATTTTATAAACAGTATATTTTAAATATTACTTAAGAATGTTTAAAGTGTAAATATTTATCCTCTATTAAAATTAAAAAAATTTTTTTATTTAATTATAATCTTTATATTTAAATATTCTTTAGCTTCTATCACCATATTCAATAATTCTTGCAGGTATTCCATTATAAACACCGACTGGCTCATTTTTATCTAATCTAAATCCATTTATTAATTTAAAAATAAAAATTAAATAAAATATAATTAAAAATAATATTTTTGTTAAAAACATTATTTTTGAAGAAATGTGGATTTTGTGAAAAAAATTAAGAAGGATTTTTGGAGAAAAAGCTTTTGGTTAATAATTTTATATAAATTATATTTTTAAATGCTTTTTTATGTCTGACACAGGAGGGAATGCTTAAATTTAAATAAAATTTATTTCCCCATCTTTCCGTAAAATTTTAAAGAGATTGGGTGAGGGGGGATAAATATTCTGTTCCTTTTTTAATTTATTTAAATTTAATAAACAGTTATAGAATATTTTAATTCATCCGACAAAAATTAATGGTCAACAATAAAATGAGAGAAATTTAAATGTTGAAAATTTAAATTAATTTAAAAAAAATATTTTTATATTAAAAATATTATTTTTTAAATGAATATACCAACCAAATATTCTAAATTATAATGAAGATGTAAATAGGAAAATTTAATTTATATAAAAGAATTTTCAAACCAAAAATTTTCTTTCATAAAATAAATAAATTAAAAAAATATTTTTAAAAATTATTTTCAATAAATTGTTATTTATTTTAATCATTGGTAGATCGATGAATTTTCGGGTGAAAGAGAAATAAAATGAGTGTAAAAAAAGAAAAAAGAATGGCCAAATATTTAGGCAAACAATACAAAAAATGTTTTAAAATATTTAGTCGTTTGATATTTTTTAAAAAAATTTATTGTTTTTATTAATAAGATACATATTTAAATAAATATATTTCTTTACAAAAAAAGAACAATTTAATTTAAAATAAAATATAGTTAAAGGAGTATATTATTTATTTTTATTTACTGTATTTACTCAGATAATTACCCTCACTCTATTAATTACTTGAAGCAATAATTAATTACTTCAGTATTTATTTAAGTAGATACAATATTTACTCATTTACACTAAAAGCTTTTTATTATTTTAATTTTTTTCTATTTTATCTGCTTTTAAATTTAATTGTTTTTCAATTTTTTTGTTCCTTCCATTTTGTTTATCTTTAATTAAACCCCCAGCTGACAATATTTATTGTTTATTTATTAGTATCATTTTTAAAATAAACATGTCTATCTATTAATTAATTAATATTTAAAAATATGTATTTTCTTTTTTTTACTAATCAGCAGAGCAATACTTATAATTATTTTAAATAAATGAATGATAAAAATTACTCTTCCTCCAATATTACCTCCCCTCCAATCTATTCACAATTTACTACCACTACAAATTATTTATTACCAAAAACTCTAAGCACATATTTTGATTTAACTCCTCACAAACAAAAATCATTTAATAATTTAAAAAAAGAAAATAATCAAAATTTAAATTTATTTCCTTTTTATTTTTTAAATAATTCAATTTCTTCTTCAATTAATCCAAATTGGAGTTATCAAACGACAAAACCTAAAACAACTACTTTTTCAATTAATTATTGGTTAATTATTTAATTTTTAAATTTTATTTAAGATAAAAATTTTAACGATAGACTTTTTTCTAAAAATAATTTAAAAAAATTTTTTTGATAAAAAAAGAAGTATGCCTATATTGGCTACTAATTTTAAAAATAAATTGTAAAATAATATTTAATTAAAAATTAAATATTTAAATTTAAAAATTAATTAAACATTTTATTTTTAAATTGGTTTTGGTTCATTTTTTGGTTATTCTATTAATTTAAAGTTTAATATAAATTAATTTGATTAATAAACTCGTTTTACTTTTTTAATAATTAATTTTTAACTAAATTAATTGCAATTAAAAGAGAAAAATTAGGAACTTCTTTTTTTAAATTAATATTTTATTAAAATATACTAACTTTTAGTCGTCGAGAATCAATGCAAAGACTAGAATTTGATGATAAAATTTCTTCAATAGAGGATTCTAATTTAAAACAGCCAACAAAAAATGTAATTTATTTTTAATTTTATTTAAAATTAATTAACCTTTTTTTTCTTCTTCAAAAAAAGGTTAATATACAAATACCAAACAATTCAAAAATAACAACAAATAATTGTTTCAAAAATGGGAAAGAAAAGTTATTAAATAACTCAACATTATTATTACCAAATTGTTTAGAAAACAGCAATGTGGTTAAAGAAAAACCAACTTTAAAGACAAGAATTATTGTTTGTTTAATTTCTGGTTTTGTAATTTGTTTTTGTTTAATTAAATTATTTTATTGGAAATAAATTATTTTAATAAAATTTTGAAGAAAATTTGGAATTTTAAATTTAAATAAACTTTAAAATTTAAAAATATTCTAAATTAAAAAATTTATTTTAAAGAATCCTAGATAAAATAATTTCCCTAAATATTTTTAATTGCTTACATTGTGTATGCATATATGTTTTATTAATTGCTTAAATAAGTAAAAAATTGAGAATTTTATGTTAATAAATTCATTTTGAGATCATTCTATGCATATGGCATTTAATTGATAAGAAAATTCTATTTAAAAATTAATTAAATATAATTATTTCCCTCTTGTATTTAAAATATATTTAAAATATAAAATGAATTCTAATAAAAATAAAAATTCTTTTTTGAATGGATTAAATGAAAATTATTTAAGAAGTATTTTCTGTCAAAGGTTAGTATAAAATAAATGATTAAATTTTGTAAAAACGGCAAATATTTTACGTCAAATCTAAAAAACTAAAAAAATTCTAAGTGTATCTAGGGATACGAATATTTGTTAGATACAATTGTGCTAAATAGGGCTGGCCAGAAAGGGTTAACTGAAATAAAACCTCGAAAGCCAACGTTTATCATGACTAAAACAGGAAGCTTGTCAAAATCCCAACCGAAAAGCTCGAGCAACAATTAAAATACGACTGTGTTTGGTGTTTATGTTTTTTTTCTTTATCGAGCACGAATAAATAAATGTGAAACAATAAAATACAACAAGGGATCATTTATGGAGATAACTTATGTATACTAAAAATAAAATAAAATATGATAGTTTTTTCAAAAAATAATGTTAAGTTTAAAAAGTTAAAAAAATATGTGAACAAATGGAACCCACAAGAAAAATAAATTTGTAAATTATTCTTTTAAAGAATTAATTCTTTATTTAGATCATTATCATTATTTATTATTTTAATTATATTTAATATAATATTTTTATTAACATCAATTTGTTTTGCTCTTCTTTATTTTATAAATATTAAAAATACCGAGAATAATTTAATTAAATGGCCTAAACAAACTGACAGTTTTTATGGAAAATTTGCAACTGGTAATTAATTAATTAATTAATTAATTAATTAATTAATTATTTTTAAATAAAAAAATATTTTCTTTTTAAGCGGCAGTTGCTGCTGATAATGCTATTTGTTCTAATATTGGAAGGTAATTAATCTAAATATTTAAAAATAATAATTATTTTAAAGAGATATTCTCCTACGGGGTGGTAATGCTGTTGAAGCAGCAATTGCAACAGCTTTTTGTATTGGTACAAATATTTATTTAAAACCTAAAAATCCTATCCCTACTAATTAATATGTATGGTTGTTGAAGATAAAAATCATTAAATATTTATTTTAATTATACATACATATATAAATTATTTTATTTTTAAAATAAAGGAATACAAGATCCACATTCTGCTGGTTTGGGAGGAGGACATTTAATGACTATTTATAATGCGTAATTAAAAAAAAAATTTTTTTTAATTTTTTATTTAAATTAGTACAACAAAGAAATGCCATGTTGTCGATGCTAGAGAAGTAGCTCCTTTAAATTCAACTGAAGATATGTTTTTTGATAGAAAGAATGCTTCTAGATATGGTGAGAATTAATATATACAGGGTGCGGCAAAAGTTCCCGTACTTTTATTAAGCATAAAATTTATTTCAAATTTTTTTTAATTTTATAAAATCTATGAAGTCTAGTAGTTTGGTATTATTGGAGCAGAGACTTCCAAGGATACGATTTGTATCAAAAAATGCAACTGAGAGGGATTGCAACTGGCCTGGGATTCTTTTATTGTGGATGAGTGCGCGACCATAGTGGACAAATTCAGTTAGCGTTTGAACGCGTATATCTTGGCGGATGGAATAAATTTTGGACATTTGTTATAATTTTTCTTTCTTTGGATAGTAATGAATAATTTTTCATAGCCTTTATAAAATTTAAAAAAATATTTGAAATAAATTTTATGCCTAATAAAAGTACGGGAACTTTTGCCGCACCCTGTAGTAAATAGTACAACCTCTATTTTATATAGGGTATGAAGCTGTTGCCGTGCCGGGCGAATTACATGGATTTTGGACTGAATATAAAAATTTTGGGGGAAATTTAGAATGGAAAACACTTGTTGAACCATCAATTCAATTATTGGAAGAAGGTAACTAAGTCCGGCTATTTTTAACTACTAATTCAAAAAAAGGTTCTCCAACTTCTCATGTTCTTGCTCGACAATTACAAAATCATAAACAACGAATTCTTTCAAATAAATTATTATCTTCTATATTTACAAATCCAAAAACTGGACATTTATTTGCTGCTGGAGAACAGATTAATACAAGAAATAAATTGGCAGACACATTGAGGATATTAGCTAATTCCTCCAATCCTTTAGAAATTTTTTATAAAGGAGAAATTGCAAGGAGTATTTCAAAAGAATTCGAAAAAAATAGTTTGTAAGGGGAAAGGGGGAGGAGTGTAGTTAATTAAAACTTGGATTAAAGAATTTTAAAAAAATAGAAAAATTACAGTCGGTGAAAGTTCATACTTTATTCTCTCTAATAGATTGGCACGTATATTTGAATGGCTGAATGAAGTTATTAAAAAATACATAGAATGACAATCATTCTATTAGAAAAAAATTGGCTAATCTATTTAGTGGGGACAAAAAATAACGGGAAAGAGGACATTTTTGTCCTAATTTTAATAATTTATTTAAAGATGGAAGATTAATATTTGAAGATTTTAACAATTACAAATCAATTATTCGATCAGATAAAGATATTATTTATACTAAACTTCCTAATGGAAGAACAATTTGTGGACCACCTCCACCATCTGGATCAGCAGTAACTCAAGGAATTATAAATATTTTATCTAGGTTTGTAAAGAAAACTAAGATATTTTCACTGAGGAAATATATAATTTATATGTATATAAAATAAGAATAATTTTGAGATTTAAATAGACAAAAATAATCCAAAAAATTAATTTAAAAAAATTTTTTTCAAAGAATGGAATTTAATTTAACTACAATATCTGGCTCTGTCGATTATTTTCATTCGTTTATAGAAGCTTCTAAATTTGCATATTCAATTCGAGATTCGTTAGGTGATATTGACTTTGTACCCAATTCTCTTAATTTATCACATTTATTAACTAGCCAAGAATGGGCTGAGAATATTCGGTCAGAAAAATAATTTCTTTCTTTTTTTTCAATTTTTCTTTAAGAAATAAAATAACTTTGAGAACACATCCAGACAGTTATTATCAAGAAGGAAATGCTCATCAAGCATTACCAGAAGATCACGGTACTTCACAAATAAGTGTTATTGACCGTTGGGGAAATGCAGTTTCTATAACTACAACATTAAATATAGCGTTAGATAAATTAAAAATTGAAATAGGAAATAGTAATTAATTTAAAGATTTGGTTCTTTTGTTTTAAGTGAATCAACTGGAATAATATTTAATGACCAAATGGATGATTTTTCGACTAAAGGAATGCCAAATTGTAAAATGAAAATTTTTAATAAAAATATTTTAATTAAAGATTGGGGTTATCTACCCTCTCCCCAAAATTATATTGAGCCGGGAAAGAGGCCAATGAGTTCGATGAGTCCAATTATTGTTTTTAAAGAAAATGGAAAAGTATTTTAGAAGTTTTATAAATTCAAGAAAATATTTTTAAAGGAAGCATTAGCTATAGGAGCTTCTGGAGGTTCAACAATAATTTCTGGAGTAGCTTTAACTACTTTTAATATTCTTAAAGTTGGAATGAATATTAAAGAGGCTATTGACTTTCCTCGATTGCATAATCAATTTAGACCAAACTTTACCATGTTTGAAGAAAGAATACCCGAGAAATTGAAAGAAGGATTGAAAGAACGTGGACATTATTTTGATAATTTAGATTGGCTTAATGTTGTGGTTACTATTATTTTTTGGAATTTTAAATATACTTTTAAAAATTATTGAATAGGTGGGCGTGCATCAAGCTGAAGATGGAATTATCTACGCTAATAGCGATTGGAGAAAGGGCTGGGAAAGTCAACCAGCTGGTTATTGAATTTATTCTCTTCGTTTTTTCTAATTTCAATTTTATGAAAATCTATAGTATATAATTTACGGAAAGAAACGCAAGTTTATACAAGATTGTCAAAGTGCTTAATAAACGTTTAAAAAAGTGCCATTCTCTTTTCGAACTCATTAAATTTTACCATTCAATTGGAGGTCATTAATAGAGGGGGTCATTTACAATATTGAAAAATTATGAAAATAAACTTCCAACTTTAAAAAGAATCATCGCTGGGCGCGATATGCACGTAAAATCGAAAATATACGCATTATTAACTGTTTAGAGGGGCTAATCTCGAAGTCTTTCACATCGAAAAGTAACTCACATAGAAGTCCTCTAAAATTTATCGTGGGTGAGAATTAGAAATGTTAGGAAAATATGAAAGAGAATGTGTGAATGACTAGGAAGAAGGTGGCAACAATAAAAGAAATAAAAACAGATTGTGAGTGAGAGGTCATTTATAAAATTACAAAATTAAAAAGTGCTTAAATTAATGGAGAAAGGAAGTAAATTAAACAAAATTCAAATAAAAAGGAATGTTACAATCATTTCATTTCAAACTCTTCAAGTAAATGATTTGTCAATTCATTATCCCAATCTGATTGTTTTGAACTCGGTGATGGTCTTCCAATAGAGAGGGGACGGGCCATTTGGCGAAGAGAATTCTCCATTACACCCGGAAAGAAAATTGGACGTGAAATCGTATGTGAAGAAGATACATTCTGGGAACATAAACCATCAATGGGAAATAATTCGTTTGAACGTTTTGATAAAGACTTTACAGCCATTGAAGGATTTCCACCAGATGTTGCTGTGAGACGACGCCAGATTCTGTTCAAACCAAGATTGCTTAAATAGATAATATAAATAAAGATTTAAGAAAAAATATTACGGCGATCTGCTACGTGAATATTGACGAGCAAATGGACGTTTTTGAAGTTCATAGTCACGCTCAAATCTCGAAGAACTTTGATGATCGAAAGAACGTTGCTGTTGAATAGGTCTAAATATTCTGCAAAGTTTCCGATTCCCTCCAACAGATCGATGATTATCTTTTGCCATTTCTGGCAACCCATAAGTGATATGACGAGGGTTGAGCGGCAAGTGAGGCTCTGACCAAAGAGGTAAAGGTTGCTGCCCAAGTGATTGAGCACTATTTTGATGTTGCCGTGAAGTACGACCTCCAAAATGTGGTCTAAGCGAGTTCAATTCATTGTTAGTGCCACCAGTAAAAGAAATCGAACGTTTCCTAAAAAAGGATATCGAAAAATCAAAATTCAAAAAATACCTGGTTGCCTCAAGGCAATCAAAATCATCATTCTCACCGAAAATATAATCCTCATCGTCTTTATTTAAAGGAATAATAGTACAATTGTCTGCGATTAAATTATTGAGTTGAGAATTTTTAGAGATTGCTTGACTTGTGTCATTGCGAGACATTGTGAATAAATCAGCTTCTAAAATGGTTCAAATATTATAGTTAAAAGAGAAAATGAACCAGGTAAAGACGATCGTTTACGTTCATTTGAAGCTTGATTAAAGTTATCGCCATAACTATCATTAGAAGAATTGCATTCAATGGTTGGGCATTTATGGTAGTCAAATGAGGAAGAAATTGCAATTGAGCCAAGCTTTCGTCTCTTTTGTGGAGAAAATTTATTGTTACAAATTACGCTCGAATTTTTCATTTTAATGTTTGAGTTCGCCTCTTTAATTGATTGTAACATTCCGTTACAAGCCTCTGACTTCGAAGAAAAAACATTATTTGTTCCATTAGAAATTATTGTTGCTGTGGAAGAGGGTTGCTCGTTTATATTTTTGCGAGAATTTGAAATAAGTTGACTTTTAAACTATAAAATTAATAATTAAAAATTCAAGTCAGAAATAAAACTCACTTGATTGTTCATTCCAGAAAGAAGACTAATACGACTTGCACCTAAATAATCAGCATTAACATGAACTAGGCCGTCCTCAATTAATTCACAATTATTTTGTTGTTGATGAGTTGATGATAAACTATCAGTTTCGCCTATTGCCTTTTCAACAAGACGCCGTAAAAGAGCAGTAGTAGAGGGTGAGCCACTACCTCGTTGTAAAGTACTTGTAGACTCTGCATTTGTTAATGCTGAAAAAATCAATTTAATTATTTAATAAATAAATTACTCAATGAATCACGCGGATTTTGTTTATGACGAAAAACATTTGAGCGGGGAAATATAGCTGGATCAAAATGTTCAGATTCATAATCTTCACTATCCGAAATAAATTCATCTTCTAGGTCATCAGAAAAAAAGTTGTAATTTAAACGATGGACAAGCCAAAATGTACGCATTGGTCCTTTGCCCTAAAAGAGAGTATTATTGGTTAGTCAATTTTTTGTTCTAAACCTTAATTTGAACAATTCCACGTTCCTCCATAACAAAATCACCATCCATATCCAATGCTTCTTTTGTTTGATGACTGCAATGAATTTTCAGAGCTAAAAGAGAATATAAACTTAAAAAAATAATCGTCATACCTTTAGATGTACTTTCCATTCGAGATGCTGTATTGACAGTATCACCAAATAAACAATAACGTGGCATTGTTTTTCCAACGACCCCAGCCACAACAGGACCTAAGCGAAGTATATACTAATAAATAGAAAGATATGAAGTTGCCTGTATGAACACCAATTCGGAGCTTTAATTGCTCTGTAGGTCTGTGAGGGATTCTGAAGTTTTCAACTGCCTTCAATAGATGTAAAGCCATTGTAGCAATTTGTTCGGCATGATAGACACCATTTCTTGACGTAGGAACACCAGAGACAACCATATACCTTTATAAAATTAGATTTAGAATTGTTTTTGTCTAACAGAAACTCACGCATCTCCAATAGTTTCGACCTTATAAACATCATATTGTTTAATAATTCTATCAAAAAGAGTGTAAAGCTTGTTCAACATGTTCACTACCTGGAAAGATAAAAAAAATCAGATAGGAAGGGACGTAACAAGGAGGTGTCATTTGGACATTATAGAAATATTGCTTACGATAAAAAACAAATTAAACCTGAAGAGGAGTACTTTCACTTGATATAACAGTAAAACCGACAATATCAGAAAAATAAACAGTCACTGACTGAAACTGTTCAGGCACTACATCACGACCTTGCAACAACTAAAAATATTACATAAATTACTGATATTCTTGTATATCATAATTTATATCAACCTGTTGAGCTACAGAAACGGGTAACATTCTTTGAAGTAATAAATCAGTTCTTCTTTTCTCATCTCGCAATTCTTTTGTCCGTTCATCAACCAAGTCTTCTAATTGATTTTGATATTTTTCCATCATAACCTAAAAATAAATCATTCAAAAATCTTCGAAAAATCTTAAACCAAAATATGGTCCATTAAATTGCGCGAGTGTAAAGTCCCAGCAAAAAGTTGTTTAAGCTTGTGACGAATTGCATGGCGAAAATCCGGCCTAAATTCCGGCTCTTCAGACCAACACAATTCCATTGTATCCACAATATAATCCTGACATTGTAATCCTTTCAAACTTGGTCTGAATCCAATCCCAGCAACCTGAAAAAATTTAAAATTGAATGATAATGTTAAATATAATAGATATTTACCACTTTTCTAACAACTTCTTCAGCACTCGAAATATCTTCTGTCTCATCATACGTAAAACAATTAAAATCTCTAATTAAATTAAACGGCCCCTGACGAGCAATTAATTCGTGTAAAATAATTCCAAATGAATAAACATCTCCTTTTTGTGTTCCTTTAACAACGCGACAAAATTCGGACTGGTTTAAAAGCTCTGGCGCTGTCCAAAGATAGCTTTCCCACTAAAAATAAATTAATAATAATTTTTTAATTAATTAATTACCATAATCTGTGGATTTTCCCATTCTTGACCATCACGTAATTCATGTAATCCATAATCCGCTACTTGTAAGGCCCAACGCGAGGTAATTAAACAATTCGTTGATTTTAGATTACCATGTACTTTAACATCCGATTCGTGCAAATAGATCATTCCTAAAATCCGGAAATTATTTAAATTTATATCCAAAAAAAACCTTTAATGAGATCTTCAGTAAATGAAGCAATAAAAAGAGAATCTAATTTAATATCACGATTTCGTAAAACTTCCATCAAACTTGTTTTTGGACAAAATTCTCTAACAACACAAATAACATTGTGAAGAAGAATAACTCCCAAAAAGTTGTTAACATTGTCATGTCTAAGTTTTGTCATTCTCATTAATTCTAATTTTGTTGCCCTTGTCAATTCTTTTGGTTTTCTAGTATAACGAATCTCCTTTATTGCCACAAGCGCTCCTTTGTATAAAGCAATCTGAAATTCGTTTAAATAAAAAGTTGATTTATCTAACCCCTCGAAGACTTGGCCAGCGGCGGTCTTGCGCAGCTTGCCCAAAAAATTCACCATTTTGAGCAATTCCAGCTTCGATGATGTAAAGGGAATTTGAGGATGAATTGTTGCAATGCACAATTTTTTCAATCTCGCGCCTATCAATCCGCCATACCATTGATAATTCTCTTTCGAATTTTTGATTTCTAATAATGAAAAACTTAATTTGTAAAGACTGAAATTAAATTCTGAATCAAAATAAAGTAATAATTTATTTTTTACCTGTAAGTAACAATTGCACCGATTCCAAAGATTAAAAGTAAAGAAACAAGCACAATATAAAGCACAGTCCCCCACCAAGAAGAACTTTCATCCTCTTTGCACTTCTCTCCGTCGAAACCACATTCAGGTTCATCTAATGGAGGTTTTCCAGTAGGCCAGCGAATTTTACGACGAAATCTAAGTTGAGGTAAATTTACTGGATTTGGATGAGCCATGAAGTCAGCAGTGATTGTTAAAGCTTCTTTGAGTGGATAATAATCAGGATTGCTACCGTCAAGAACCTAAAAAAATTAATTTTAATTTATTTCTTTAATTAATAATACCGGCTCGACTTCCTGAAGTGCCAAAAGAGTGTAATTTCCTTCTGCATCGCCATTTTCGTCAATACGCATATCAAAACCTTGCATACCTAAAAGTAAAGAAAAGGACAAGGATGCCTTAAAAGAAATAAAACTTTTATATTTTCTGCCTAATATTCTAGAAATAATCTCTCTTCCATTTTCAATCGATTCATCTACTTTAGAGATAGAAGAGGTTCTGTTTAAAGTATCCATAATTGTTTCATGAAGGGCTTGAGAATATAACATAACCGCATCGTAAAGGTAACAAGCAAAACGATTAGCCTAAAAATACAGAAGATTATAATAGATAACCTTTAAAAACCTTTATAGGGGAGCTAGTCTCATGATGATGAACACCAAAATTAGGTAGGTAAGAATTGGCTTTTTTCCAAAAATCGGTAAAAATTTTAGAATTGAGTTGTACAGGAGTCGGAATTATCTAAAAAATTTTTATGTAAATTCAGTAGTGTACTAGAAAGAATTTCAGAGGTGAAACTGAACGAAAAATTCATTATTGATTTCCTCATAAATTTCGTTTCCTCGTTCGGCCTAATCCACTCATCTGAATAATACGCCTTTCCAAATTTTCTAAACCCAAAGTTAACATTTTAATTTAAAAATTACTGCAAGAGCTGATCTAGAATAGCCGATTAATTTTCTATCCATAGAATCAGGATTGTCCCAGGACTCATTCAACTTGCGTAAAGTATCTTAAATTGAAAAACAGAAATTAAAAAATGAACAAAATAAAGTAGTAACTTTAAAAAATCAGAAATTTAAAAAACCAGAAATTAAAAGAATAAACCTCGAAAAAAGTGATTATTCATTGCGTGGTAAACATTCAACCTATAATAATAAATTAAACATAAAAATTTTAAATCAATAACCAACCAGTTATAGTCAGTATCTAAATAAAGAAGTGCATATTCCCCATTTGACATCAACCCCATTTCACCCATTTCAAGTAAAATTCTTCGAAAAAGACGAACATTTCCAAAAGTAACATAAATTCTAGTTGCAGTTTTTGTAGCATCAACAATTTGACGAATTTTATCAACATTGGTCTTTTCAACCTAAAAATATTTCAGATAAAAATATTTTTATTTAAAAAAGCTAACCTCGCTGAAAGGATGATTAACTAAAGAAACATTCAAAATTGTGTATTTTCTTTCCCCTTTACAACTATTTACGGGATCTGAACGTTTCTTTTGTTGTTCAACTTGCTGACTTTCTTCTTCTAAAAGACGTCTAATAGCCGTAAGTAATTCAACATTGGCATGGGCATTTTCAAATATAACAACAAATTTGTACCAACAAAAATGTTTTAACAAAGCAATAAATGAACGAGCAATAACTGATTCTGCCGGTACTGTTCTAGCAAATGTTGGATATCTTTAAGGAAATATAAAGAAATTAAAATGCCAAATACAAATTTGTGTACAGCCCAAGACGGCGCGTACTTGCTAGAGAATGTTTGGCCCTTGTCAATTACCAATCTCCCTAGCTCAATCAGAGAAATTGTTTGATACTAAATCTGGTAAGATTAGGAAATCTTAAAGCAAGTCATGGCTTAGCGCCGTTATGGCTACGCGTCGTCTTGGGCGTGTCCCTCCAAATTTAAATAATGTTAAAATTTGTATATATTTTAATAAATGATTTTAAAAGCTCTTAAACCAATTTTAAGATTAAAACATTAACAAACCTTTTTTTATCACTGACAGTCTGATCTTTGCATTTATGTGAAATTAAAGGTAAATTTTGAGATGAAGCCATAGTAGCTTCTGTTCGACAATTTACTTCTGGTCCGATAAAAACTTTTGCTCCACGTTTCCAGTGATCCATAAAATATTCAGTACCTGTTAAAAATTAGAAAAAAATTAAATTTTAAATTTAAACAGACTTCTCATTTCATCGCCGCAAGTGTTGTTGAAAATATATTTTAATTTATAACCAGGTAACATATCGGGATTATTATTTACATAATCAATAGCAACTTGTAATGCACCAGATATCATTGACCCTTAAAAACACAAAAATTATCTAAATTTAAATTTAAAAAAACCTTCAAATTCAGTACTAAAGCAGCTATGTCCATTCATTAAACTACTAAAATCAGCCAATTCATTACTTCTACTGTTAGCTACATCTTGGAGTTTATCAAAAATAAGTTGAGAAAATTGAGAAACAGCCGCCAAATAACTAATTAAAATTGGCTTTCTAGGATCGTGAACTTCTTGAGTATTTTGACGGAAAGCTGTTTGTTGATCATCTTCTGACTGAAAAATAAAAAAAATAAAAATTAATTATTTAAATTTTACATGTAAAATCTTTTCTTTAAGAAAAGATAAAGCTCTGCTTTTATTTGTAGAATTTATAGGTTCTTCAATTATATTTTGAGTTGTGGAGGCAAAAATAAAAATTTTGGAGAAAAATGTAAATAAAATAAAAACTAGCATAGAATATTTGTTTAGCCAATAAATTGAGATATGTATTTGTGTAGTTATTTACCCGTTGATAATTAAAATAAAATAATTAAAGAATTTATGTATTTAATTTACATAAAAAACTAAAAGAAAAATTAATATTAAATTCTACGTACATACTAAAACAATCAACAAAAGAATATAAATTTAAAAGAGAATGAATACTTAGGCGCGGCTCATTTAGGCCGCAACACCTAACTGCAAGACTAATTTTGTTCCGCTCAAGTCTTGGTGATGTCTCGACTATTGCGGACGCGACAATTGCGAAGGCGACAAAACCGCAAAATTCCGTCTTTTTTGAGTCTTCCGCTTCCGGTTTTCAATTTCATTCCTTATCCGCCTCTTCTATCTTTTAAAAATTAATTTGCAACATTCCTTGTACACAATGAAAACCTCAAAATTAATAATTCGACAAAAAATCCTACAAGTTTTGATGATGTTACTAACCTTAATAATTTTTCACAAAATTGGAAATTAAATAATAATTCTCTCTGAATTACGTAAAAAAACGAATTCAGTATTATAATAAAAAAAATTTTTATTAAATTTTTACAATGCAATTTTTAGCCTTTTAATTTTTATCGAATAATCAATAAATTTAATCGACAAATTTAATTTTTAAAAAGATATTAAAAAGATATTCGTTAACAAATAAAAATTTTCTTTTACCGCTTCACTAAGTGCTTTTCACTAATACATATATACAAATTATTAAAGAAACAATTAAAATAATTTCCGGGAATTTTAAATCACAATTTTAAAAAACTTTAATAAAAGTTTTAAATTTTCTCTATTTGTTTTGACGATAATATCGGTTGCGTCTAAATATTATTTAAAATATGTAAAAATAATTTAAAGTAACAAACTTAATAAAATGCCGAACAATTTCCATAGGCAATGGAAATATAATTGTTCTGTTCTTTTCCGCACTATTAAAAAATAAGTTTTTTAATTAAAAATATTTTCATTATTTAGTAGCGACTAAGTTAATCATTAACTGTATTAGGAGGTCCTCCAATTATTTTTTTAAATCTATGATCTACTTAAAGATAACAAATTTCCTTCTTGTCGCTACTAACAAGATTCTTTACCTAATTGTTGAAAGTGTTTGCAGAAAACGAAGTTGTAATGCTACAGGTGATTGTGAAACTATTAAAGCCTTTAGAAATTAATTAATAATTAAATTAATTTTGTTAGGAAATTAAATTTTTCTTTTACCGCTTCACTAAGCGCTTTTGAAGCTTTTTGTTCTCCTTCAGCAGCAATTATCTTTAAACAAAAATTATTTTTTTATAAAATTAATTTAAATTATTTACTTTAGCCCCAGCTTCTCTAGTTGCTTCTGCTTCTGCAGCCATAGCTCTTTGTAATTGTACCGGTAATCTTACATCTTTCATTTCAACTCTTTCAACTTTAACTCCCCATGGGGATGTTATCTATAAATTTAAAAATAAATTATTTTTTTATTAATTTACCTCATCTAAAGTACTTTGCATTTGAAGAGAAATTTGTTCACGATCACTAAAAATAAGTAAAATTATTTTTAAAAAAATTTCTATTTATTTACCTAAGCATTTCTGCAAGGGTTTTTGTACCAAGTATATTCCTTAAAGTTGTTTGTGCTAATAATTTTGTTGAGCGACTAGAATCTTCTACATTTGTAACAGAAATTGTTGCATTTGATATTCGGAAATAAACAACTACATCCTAATAACAATTTTTAATTTAAAAATCTCCAAAATAATTTAAATTTACCACAGCCACAGTTACTGCATCTCTTGATAAAATCTAAATATATTTAATTAATTAATTAATTAAATAATATTTTTATTTACTTCTTGGGGAGGTACATCAAATGAGAGAACACGAAGATCAACTTTTCTATATGTATCGATGCAGGGAATTACCTAAAATCAGAAATGGACATTGAAAGACAATTAATTAATTAAAGAAATGTTTGGATATCTTTCAAAAATCCTTTCCAAATATTTATTTACAAAAAAATGGAAAGAAAATTTACAATAAAAATTCCAGGTCCACGAGCACCACCAGGCAATAAACGCCCTAATCGGAAAATCACAGCCCTCTCATATTCTTTTACAACTTTAACACAAAAACAGATTGCTATCGGAAATGTTAGAGCCAAAAGAATATATGAGCAAACCTTTAATTAAATTAAAAATAATTTTAAATAAATAAATAAAGACAAACCATCAATATATATCCACTTATTCCTAAATTTCCAGTCATTGGCTCTAAAAATATAAATATATATTTTTTATTAATTTGTTACAACTAAATACTTAAAGTTTAGGGACATAATAAAGGTTTTAATTACTTCAAAATTTTAAAAACATTCACGAGAAAGAAACTCCTTTTTAGATTTTTTAAGTCAAAGTTTTGTTCTGTCTATATAAAAAAATTGTCTTTAAAATATTTCCAAATTAAATTAAGAAATACGTAATAGGATCAAAAGGCGAAAATTCTAAATGTTCTTCTGCCATTTTATTGGAAAAACGGCGTTGGGAATGGCGCATCAAATGTCTGTCCCTAATGTCCATAATTTTAATTTTATTTTGTTGAATAAATACCAAAAATAAAGGAAATTAAATAAAAAATAATGAATTTATAAATTAATTTAATGAATTTATTGTTTTTAATTTATTAAAGAGCAAGAAAGGATTTTTAGAATAAAAGAAATATTTCCTTGTTTATTTATTTATAAGGCTTATAAGTATAAAGCCATTATATTTTTAGCCATCCTTTTTTTGTTTATTTGTGCCAGATTATTTATTTTATTTTAAATTAAACACTTTTCTTGACTCTTTTTTTGTTTTAACGTTTTAATAGATTTTTAAAGAAAAAATATAGAATTTCTTCTCTCTTATGTACATTTATAATTTAATTAAATACTTTTTTGGCCTCTTATTTTAAATAGAAATATTTTTAATTGAACCAAAAAAATTAACGGAAAATTAATTTAACAATATTTATTTTTAAATTATAATAAATACCGTTGGCGAAAAAATCATTTCGATCATTGCCTTTGAATCGCATAGATTGATGGCTATAAACCTGTAAATATTAATTATATATTCTTCAAAATTTATTAGTTCAATTTTAATGTTAATGTAATTACTTAGTATTTATTTTATTAAAGGTTTAAAAGATATTAAATGAATGAAATATTTAAAATTATTTTTAATAATTGCTTCTCTTTTTAAATTAACTTTTAAATAATTATTTTTTTAATTTAATTTATTTTTAAAAATATTTCGAAAGTTTACATGAGACGGTTTGTACGTAGTCCCTAAACGTGTATCCTCAACCTCAACCCAATGGGAAGCTGATGGGGTAGCTTCTGTTTGCGATGATGGATTTTTATTTTTCTTTCTTGAAGGATTACTAAGTAAAGAATGTAAAATTGTCATTTCTGTAAAATTTATAAACAGTTAATTTTATTTAATTATTTAAATGCTTTTTTCGATCTGATCGACTCAATTTTATCGAGCAGGCTGTTTCCGGAGTTTTCTAATCAACTTATTTCCTTATCAAGAAAGTTATAATTAAACATAGGTAGGTGTTAAATAATCCTAATATATAAATATGTCTGATTAACAAATGGGTAAAAAATATTCAAGATCATAGATATTTAAATTTTTTTCAATAAAAAATTTTAATTTTTCTAAATATTTTTACTTAATAAATAATTCTAGGCTTAAAAATCTCAATTTAAAGTAATAAAGTCTTCCTTTAAAATATTTAATTGTTTGATAAAAAAAATTCTTTCTCCCATATGCACTTTATTTTATTGCAAATTATTTACATAATTAAAAAATAATAATAATTTTCCATAAAATAATTTAATTGAAAAATATTATTATTATTTTATTTTTAGATAATATTAAATACTATTATTATTTCCTTAAGAAAAAATATTGCAATTCGCGCAATAGAAGGACAACTAAATAATTAAATATAACGACGTTAAGGTTTCTGACTTTGTTTGTGATGGAATAACGAGTGAAAGGAGAAAAATAAAAAGGGACGAGAAGCGGCAAAAGCTAATATATATAAGCATTGCCTCTAGTATTTTTCTCTTAAACAAAATAAATAAAAGAGAAAAATATGTATAATAAATAAATACTTGGTTGAGAAATGGGGGAATGGTGGCAATTTTGCCACAAAAATATTTTCCACCAAACCCTTCAATTTTTTGGAGAGAGGAAACTGGCATGAAAATGCAGGAAGCAAATGATGATGAAAATAGGTGCAATTTATTGGTAATTTTGAAGTAAATAAGTATTTTTTAAAAATGTTTTTGGACTTTTTATGAGTATGTATAAAAATAAAAATTTTATTAAAAATACGTAAACTTCCACAACTATAGTAGTAACGTTGAAATTGAGTTTCTTTAATTTAAAAAATAAAATAATTTTGGATTTATAATAAATTAATATATCTATACGTAATTATTTTTAAAAATAATTTAGCATTATTGGAAAAGGACTTGAGCAAGGAGTTAGTAAAATATCTATAAAGTCGGTTTTAGTTCAATGGCTAAAATAGGGAAGGAAAGAAATTAATTTTAGGTACTATCTTCAATAATGTCAATAAATGTCAGTAAATATATAATTTTGGAATTTTTGTTATATTTATTTTTCACGTCTTTCCTTTACATCATTACCATCTTGTATTGGCACATCTGCCAAATTAGTTTCACTTTTCATCACAAATGTCCTCGCTTTTGCTGTTTTATGTAAAAGAGAATGGCTGTTTTGGCTGTTCTCAAGATATTTTCATTTTTTAACCAAAAGCTCAACTTTAAAAAAATCAAAATAAAAAACCAAAGAAATTCTTGAAAAAAATACAACTATTTATAGTTTCTTTAAAAGAAATTTGTAAAAATCCCAAAATTTTTAATCCTTTAATATAATTAGAACATCCTCCTTAATATATTTTTATACATATACTACTCTTTCTTGATACAACAAAATAAAACTTTGTTGTCTGTTATACCTTAAAGGATATAATCCAACCAGTTCCAAAACCAACTACCAAAATTCCAAAAAAAATTTCCAAGATTTTCCTTCCAATATTATTTTCAACTAAAAACCCCCAATTTTGTTTAACAATAGCAGCTAAATTCCCCAACCAAAAATAAAACGAATTTAAGTTATGTAAAATAAAATAAAAAATCCCTGCATTTTTTAACAAAAAAAACAATTTTCCCAAAAAATACTTTAAATATTTATTTTTAAGTAAAAAGCTTTTTTATGGGAAATTAAATTTTAATTTACAAAAATATATTTCTATTAATTATTTATAAAATGATGTTTTTTCCTTCTTTTTAGAAAATTCCTTTAAATTAAATATGAGATTTTTGTTTTTAAAGTTCTTCATCATGTTCTTCTTTGCTAGACATTGCTGCCTGTAAATTAGAAAAATGTAAATTTTTAATTTTTAAAATCAAGGATTTTTTCCTCATTTGATTGGTTTTCAGAGAAGAATACAAATATATTATCATTCAATAATATTTATTTAATTACCTCAAGAAATCCCTGTTTCATCCAAGCAATAACTGCTTGCATTAATTTCATCCAAACTACCCCAATTGAATGTTTTTCATTTTTACAGTGTTCCAAAGTCTCAACACAATTTAACCAATTTTTTTGTTTTGTAAGTCCATAAAGATCTCCAGCACTTCTAGCAAAAACTGGAAATACTTAATTTAGAAAAAAATGGAAATTTAATTAATTAATTACTTTGTTTCCCCCTTTTTAAATTAGAATTAGCCATTAAAACAGTATCAACAACAGAATGTTTAACACATAACCAATTTTCTGCCTGAAACCAAACTTTCATTCTGTAATGCATTTGTCCATTAGCTCTACACATTTCTGCTAATTTTTCTTCCAATTCTATTATATTTTGATATTCATCTTCTAAAGCAATTACTATCTAATATTAAATATTCTTTTAAAAAAATATTTATTTTCTATAATTATTACACGTTCAAAAAATCGAGTAACTCCATTCCCAACTTGCACAGCTCTCGGACAAAAACGTGCTAAACTTTGAACATCAAAAACTTCAATTTCGTGTGCTTGTGGTGCACATCTAGCCAATAAACTTTTGTATAGAGATCTTTAAAATAATTGAAAGAAAAAATTATTTTTTAGTAAAACAATTATATTAACCTTTTATCATTTAAAAGTCGAATAACAATTTCATTTCCAAAATCAACTGTTTGAAGGGCTCTACAAAATATTTTTAAAAAATTAATTTTATAAAATAATCCTCTTCTCAACTTTTTCAATGTCTGTGCAACCAATTTAATTTCTTCTGGTCTAAGCAGAGGTTTATGTCGAGTACTATCTGAAGCTGTTAACAAACTACCATTTAATACAGTTGGCAAACTTGTTACTGATTCAACCATTGGAGATATAGAACTTGTTGAGGGAGTTTCTCTTGGACTTATTAATCTTGAAAATAAATTTGTTGTTCTTAATTTAAAGAAAAACCTGGATATAGGGCTGCTTCTTGTTGAACTACCTCTTGAACGTCGAAAGAAAACAGGAAATTTAAAGAAAGATGCCGAAAATCTAAGGAATGAGGAAGGACGGTGGGCAATTACAGGGAATTCTTCCATTTTATTTTTTAATTCTAAAAAATATTTTTTTAAAGTTTCTCTAGTAATTTTTTAAACATTTTTAGGTAAAATAAAAAATATTCTTTAAAATATTTTTATTTAAATTTACAAATATCCATAAATGAATGAATATAAATAAATATCCTTCTCGTTTTTAAATAAAAAAAAATAAATTGTTAATAAAAAAATTAATATAATTCATTGGAAAAATATATTTTTATAAATACAAAAGAATTGAAAGAAGGCGGGAACAAAATATGAATAAGCAGAATAGAAAAAAAATTATCTACCTAGTTAAAAAAATATAATTATTAATTCTATTTATTATTTTTTGTTTTTGCAAAACATTCAGCAAATAATAATTGAAAAAAAATAATTTTTGATTATTTAAAATTAAAAAAATTTATGTTTAGTAATAAAGATTTTGATTAAAGGATTAAATAGAGAGTGGAGGAAGAAAACTTTAAATTTAAATTAATTATTTGCTTAATAAAATCTAATAAATTTCTTCTTTTTCATTAAAATATTCAATTAATAAAAATTTAAAATTAACTAGAATAACTTAAAAAAATGTCAAAAGATTGCTGCTTTAAAAAGCTATTAAAATAAACTTGTCAATGCTTGAATAAACAATTTAGGAAAACATTTAACAAAAAAAAGTTTTATGATTGACATAGCAAAAATTCTCCATTTCCGTTTTTGGTAAAAATGAGAGTAGGGGGGAGGGGGATATATAAATATGTAAATAATATATTTATTTAAATATATATTTTTTGTTATTTTTTTGAAATAAAAAAAGGAAATAACAACTCATTAAAATTAATTTGTTTATTTGTAAAATATACCTAGTATATTCAAATAAACACAAGAATTTGTATGTACTTCCTTCTTTTTTTTCTGAATTTTTAAAAAATAGTTCCAAAAAATTAATCAAAAATATTTGCAACATAAAATAAATTTAAATGCTTCTTTTTTAAAAAAAATTTTAAAGAAAAGTTTATTTAAATATAAAATTCTTTTATTAACACACAATTATTGACACAAGAATATTTTTAAATTAATTCTAATAATTATTTATAATTACTTTTAATTTCCTTAAAAATTAAAATAATTCTTTATCATTTTCAGAATAAAAAAATAAATTGTCACAAAAAAAGAAAAGATGAAATAAATACTATAATTAAATTAGTATATATTTTAATTTTTTTGTATGTGTGGTTAAAAATATAAAAGAATATTACATATGTATAAAAATTAATAGAAAAATTAAATAGAAAATAAACAAAAAATTGGAAATGTGTGGGTAAATTAGAAACGGAAATAAATGAATAAAGGAAGAAATAATAATTAAATAAAATATATTTATTTATGTGAACACTCCTTAAAAAGTAAATGTTCTTTTTATAAATTAATCTCTCTTTAAACATCTAGATCGTGATAAACAAAATTATTTTTGTAAAAAATATTTTGAAAAATAGAATGTTTTTATGAAATATTTAAATTTAAAAATATGTGGAAATGATTTAATATTTGTTACAAATAATAGATAAATTAATTTTTGTAAGAGATTTTGATTTATTTATTTTTTAAATACTTAGAAATATTCAATAAAAACTTTAAAATATTTAAACATACATCATAAATAAAAATAAGTTTTTATTTTAAAAATTGTTAAGAAAATTCCCACGTCTTAAAACTTCTAAATTAAATAAAGTTATAAGTAAATATTGAATTTATAGTATTTAATTAAAAAATAAATAAAAGTTTTTTATAGACATTAAAATTAAAAAAATTTAGTTTCTTTTCACTCATTTCCCGCCTATCTATCCATCAATAGTAGCAATAAAAAATTAATTTAAAAAATTAATTTAATGTTCTCAAAGGAACAGGCGAATTTTTTTATAATTTTTCTATTTTGTTAATTTAACGATAAATATATTTTTTTAAATAATTGTTTGGGAAGAAAATAATAATAATAAATATATTACAAAGTCCTTAGGGAAATTTTAATAAAAATAAATTAAATTATATATTAATTTGTATTTTAAAAACTATTTAAAATAAAAATATAATTTAATTATTTGAATGAAAAAATAAAAAGGTACATATGTTTTCCATATAAAAGAAAGAAAACTTTTAAATTTAATTAATAATTTTGTCAAAAAATGTAATTTTTTGTTGGAAGTTGATTATTTAAAAATATATTTTAATTATAAAAGTTAACAATGGTGAATATATGTAGGTGTTTGTGAAACAAGGGGGGAAGGATAATGAAATTAAAATTTTTGAAAAAAATGTTGACATGTTTGTCTAGAAAGGAATTAATAAGTAAATAAATATATTTATGTTTTTACAAAATTTAAATTAAAAATTAATTATTTTAATTTTAATTTAATTATTACTCAGCGTTTTAAAATTTTAATTATTTTATTTACAAAAAATTTAAAAATAAAAATTTTGTTTCCAATAAAAAACTTCAAATAAAAACATTTAATTTTTACAAAAAATTCAATTAAAATTTAAAAATATATTATTTTATTTTTGTTCAAATTTGAGGAAATTAAAAGAAAAAATGGGAAACAATTAAATTTTAAATTATTTTGAGAAAGAAATTCAAACAAGCGTCAAATTTTAAGTTGCGCATTAATTTTTGATTTTTTCCTTAAAATAAAATAAAATTAAATAAATAATCATCATTCTTTATTTTATAAAAGTTTTAAAAAATAACAAATTTATTTAGTAAAATAAACAAAAATATTTAAAAATTATAAACAAAAAATAGGTGGTTTTAATACAAAATTTTTAATAAATAAAATGTTAACATCAAAAGTTTTCGATTTATTGGAGAAATATTTAAATTTAATATTTTGTATTTTATTTAAATTAAGAATTTTTATATTTATAAAAAATAATTAATATTTTAATTTTTAAATAAAATTGATAATGAATTACATCAACGCAATAATTAATTTAATACATTTATTAATAATTATTAGCAACGAAAATTTGTCAGATGGATATTGCTTTCAAGTGGTTAGAATTAAAATATTAATTTAATTAAAAAAATAAAATTTTCTTTTAACTAGACAAATGGAGTACCTAGTTACTCTGAAGGGCCAAATTGCTTTCAAATAAGTAATGGAGGTTACCGACCTAATAAATTTAGTAATTATGGAGGAAATAGCCAATTCGGTACTTTGCCCAAAGGAGGAGAAGGATTTTGGCAAAAATTTCCATTTTTTGGACAACAATTTGTTTATAGTGGATATAATGATGGAAAAGGTTGGGGAGGATCTACACAATGTAGTGCTTCTTGTATTGGGACAATGTGTTCACACAGTTGTAATTAAAAAGGAAAATAATTGAAGGAATTAAAACAAGAAAGGATTTTTTAAATTGAAATTATTTTTTTAAATTGAAAACACAATTGTTTAAATTAAACATTTAAAAATATTTATAAAATAATTTTTAATATTTACATAAATAGGGCAGAGTAAATAAATAAATACATTTAAAAATATAAAATAAAGAGCTGAACATTATAAAGCAGGGCAGAAAATTAAAAAAAAATTTGAAAAAAAATTTAAAACAATTTTAGTCCAATACGATCGTTAAAGCGTGATGGGGGAAGGATAAAAAATTAAAAAAAAATATTCTCATGTTAATAATCTAAATTCATCAAAAAATCTTCATTTCCCCAATTAATCTCTCCATTCTCATTAAAAATGTTAACTTCATTACTTTTTTCTGTTTTGGTGTTTTCTTCTTTTTCTTTAGCCTCTTTTTCTGATTTGGCATTTGACTTAAAATTAAGAAATAATATTTTAGAAATTTTTTATATTAAATTAACATAATAGAATTAAATAAAATTAAAATTAAATAACTTTTCTTCTGACAATTATAATCACCAAATTAAAAAAATTTATTTAAAAAAACATACATATTTATTTGAATTATTCTTTTCAAAATTTTCAATCTTTTTCTCTTTGTTTTGTATTTTCTTTTGATTTTCTTTGTTTAAAAGACCAGGAGTTGGCTTAAATAAATTTTTAATTTAACAAAAAATATAGTGAAATATAAAAATATATACTTTCTACTATATTTTTTTAATTAATTTAAAAAAACAAACATTTATATACGGATTCTCTTCAACAATTTCAAAAAATTGATTATATTCTTCAATTAAAGTTTCAATTACTTTTTCAATTTCTTTAAAATTAAAATAATTTAAAATTGAATTTGTCGATTCTCTAATCCATTCAACATACAAAACATCCATATTTCTAAAATATTTCAATAATTTCCCTTCATTACTTCTGAATTGGTTATCAATAGCCAAACAAAAGGCAAAAAGTCTAACAATAATACACAAAGCATTTTCTCCACTTCCTTTGATTTCTCCAATATTTTCACATTTTTTGTCAATTGATATTGCCAAATTTGTCATTTTAGATGGCCATGTTTTCTATTAATTTGTGATTTTTTATTTAAATAACAAGCAAAAATATATACAAAAATAAATTTTTAGTTAAAATACTTTAAGCCTAAAAACTAAAACTCTAAAATACATATATTTAAAAAATCTTTCCCAATAATTACATAATAACTAAAAACAAACTCCAGATAATAGCCAATCATTATATTTAAATAATTCTTCAACTGATTTTATATTTATTTTTTCATCAATTATTTCATGTTTTATCGAGTAAAAACTCCCAATTTTCTCGATTTGCAAAATTTTCTCATTTCCTTTTTTTCCTTTCCAACTCAACTTTTTACTTAATTTTGAAATGAAATTTTTATTTAAAATGTTTTTTATCAAAATATCTCTCGATTCTAATTCTTTTCCCAAAAATACATCAACATAAAAGGGCATATTTGTTGTCAATAAAGAACTTGAATTCGTAGAATCGTCTTTGTTCTATAAATTATTTTATTTATTAATTATTGTATTTACCCTAAAGAAAATTTTTTAGTCATTTACTAACTAAAAATTATTATTATAATAAAGCCAAACTAGTCTATAGCTATTCGGCGGCGGGAGTGAATCAACATTTGAACCAGAATTAGAAACTTCGTAAATTCTTTTTTTAAATTCATCTATAGCTCCAGGGCTTTTATCAGTAAATGCTTTAAACAACAATTTATCTATTAAATTTTCATAATATTGTTTGAGTGCTTTCTCTTCATTTTTTTGTTTCTCAATTTTAATTTCTTCATCTTTTTGTTTTTCTTCTTCTTCTTTTTGCTCCTCCATATCCTCATCATCATTATCTTCATTATTCTCCTTACTTTCCCCCTCTTTTCGTTCCATATATTTATTTTGATTCCAAACAAGATAATAATTTGTATAATGATGAATAGCATAAATATCCAACAAAATAAGTCTTGCTTCTTCAGCAAAGATTTGAACTTTTGTTGTTATAGTATTGTCATCTTTAATTTTAAAAGTTTTTTTGATTAATATTTATAAGTAAAAGTTTCAAGTAAAAGTAAAAATCAAATAAAAGTTTCCACATTTTATTTTAATGCTAATTTAGAGAAAAGTGTTTTTTATTTAAAAATATGTTAAATATATTTTGTTTTATATTTTTTGGTTTTGAAGCTTTTTAATTAATTAATTAGATCTTTTTTTAATTAAAAAATATTTAAAAAACCTTTATCTACAATATCTTCAATTTTAAAAGATTCAGAAAATTTTAATATTTTCTTTTTTCCTTCCTTTAAGGAATTTTTCTTTTCCAACTTGATAATATCCTTCGAATTATTTTTTGAAAAAGAATTTTTAAATTTTTTAAAATTATTTTTAGTATCTCTCAAAAATTTTCCTTTAATTTTCTTTTTATTTTTTAAATTTTTGTTTTGTTGATATTTTTTAATTAAATTGTTAAAAGCAAAAGAATTTATTTTATTTTTTAAAGAAAATCTTTTTTTCTTTTTATTTTCTTTTTTTGAATTTTTTGTTAATTTTTTAGCAATTCTTCCATTCATAACTTTATGTAATAAATTAGTAGTAATATTATTCTGATTTTTAACAGAATTTTTTTTAATTGAAATTTGTTTCTCGTTAATATTGTTGTTGTCTTGGTTGTTGTTTGTTATATCAACAAAATTTTCTTCTTTTTGATTTTCATTCAATATTTTTTCTTTTTTGTTATCTTGATGTTTTTCTAGTAGAGGATATGTATTTGGATTTATAGTTTTTGGAATTTCTTCAACTTTTTCTTCTGTTCGTGCCAAAATAATTGTTGAAATAAAAAATAAATTAAATAATAAAGTAAATAATAATTTTGACATTTCTTTTAATTAAATAATTTTTTGAGTTTTTACATTTTCTTTTAAAAAATATTTTTTAATTAAATTTATTTTAAACTTTTGTAATTTTATACAATTCTCTCAAAATTCTTATCCATTGACTGCAATCAGGAAATGTAGATTTTACTGAACTTTTTATATAAAAATTGGCTCTTGAAATTACAAAATAATTTTAAATATTTTAATTTAATTTTATTTTAAATATAATTTTTTATTTTAATTTTAAAAAATAAAAAAAAATTTATTTTAAATCAATAAATCGAAAGAAATGAAGAGGTGGATGCCCTTTTGCCAACACATCCCCAACACGCGCAACATCATGCCTTCATCATAAGTCTATTTCATGTGATTTAACAAGAATCGATAACTTTTAAAAATATAAAATTTTAAATTAAATAATTATGTAGAAATAAATAAATAAATAAAATATTTTTTTTTAATTTTTAAATAATTTGGAATCTAAATAATTGTTAATTTGGAATTTAAATAAATATACATACTATTTAAATTTTAAAAAAACAATTCCCCATTTTGAAAAAAACTCAAAGTTTATATTGTAGATTTAATTTAAAATTAAATATAGGTAATTTATACAGCCATAATTAGATACACAAAAATATTTAATAAACTGAAGAGATAATTAAAATTTGATTGGAACCAGAAATATATAAATTTTTTGAGTATAAAATTATCGAAACTTTAATATATAAAATTATATAATAGTGTAATAATTGTTGCTACTGAAATTGGTGAAAAAGTTATTTTAATGTTTGGATATATGGAGTCTAATTTAAAAGATTTTGTAACTTGCAACTAAATAAACACAGTGTAAATTTTTATGTTTAATATCCTCAAAAAAGTTAATAAGTTTTCTGTAAAATAAAGAATAAAATTTTAATTCGGCCCTCAAAATATTTCTTAATAAAAATTCTCTTATGATTGGAATTTTTAGTTTTTTTAATAATAATATTTATTCAACTCCAAATGACATATAAAATATATGGAGGATGAAATAAAAATGGGGGATGAAATTTAATTTCAAATTTAAAATATTAATTTTAAACTTGTTAATATTTTCTAATTTAAATAAAATTACAAAAAATTCGATAACTAAAGCTTTTATCAAACTTTTAAATGAAACATAACTTTAAAAATATATGTATTTTAATTCTTAAATTTTAGAAAATTTAACACTTTTTTTTCAAATTACAAATTTATTAATTCTTCTACAAATTTTCTTTCTCTTCATTATTTTCCCAATTTTCTTTTCTTTTAATTAATTCTTTGGCTTTCCTTTTTTAGCAGCTTTATCCTTTCCTCCACCCGCGGCATTTTTCTTAGGCGTTGCTTTGCCGTTTGCTTTCTTTGGTGCTGGTGCTTTCTTTGGTGCAGCCTTCTTTTTTGGCGCAGCCTTAGTTGCTTTAGCCTTTGGTTTAGCGATTGGACTTTTAGCAGCAGCATCTTTCGTTCCCTTTTTTGGCTTTGCAAGAGCAGGTGCTTTATGTTTGTCAGCAACTTTCGGTTTAGCATCCTTTTGTTTAGCATCTTTTGTTTTAGCATCCTTTGGCTTAATTTCCTTTTGTTTGACCTCCTTTGTTTTAACCTCTTTTTGATTAGCACCTGTTTTTACGGCTTGTGGTGCTTGTTCCATTTTTTGTGAAGGGGCATCTGACATTGGAGAAACAACTTTATCGGCCCCACTAATTGTTTGAGTGTTAATTGATGTATCTTGTTTAGGTTCTTCCACTTCATTCATATTCATTTCCGGCATCACTTCTTTTTCTTCAGCCATTTTTCCATAGTTGTCCATACGCGGCAATTCTTCGTATGCTTCAAGCGAATCAATGTCATCCATTTGAGATTTAAGATAATCATCATTATTGTACACATCATGATCGTCATCCATATCATCATAGTCCTCATCATCTTCATCTGAATCATCGTAATCTTCAGTTAAATCATCCATTCCTTCCTCACCTTGAGGGAGTACTTGATTGGACTTTTCTCCCACATTATTTTTCTTTCCAGGCATTGTTGCTGATACATCATCAACTTCATCCATATTAGAAATGGTTCGAGCATTGTTGACCACAAAAGCGGCAAAAAGAGAAATTAAAAGGAGGAGAAAAGACTTGAAATACATTTTCTCTCTTTTAGTTGTTTGTGAATATGATGGAAATGCTTTGATTGGATGCCGATTTTATAGCCAAAATTTTTGTCTAGGGCCGGATGTTTGTCTGACTTTCCGATTATTTCGAAAATCATTTCATTAGCCGCTTCCCTTTTAACTAAAGTGCTATTTTAATTCTCGAGTAGTCGAGAAATTCGAGAAATTAATAAAAAATATATAAAATATTATAAAAATATTATTTAAATTAATTGTTGAAATTAATTTAGCTATAAAATAATTTATTAAAACAAAAGTTTATTTTATTCCTTTGAATACATAAAAATTAATCGGATTTTTTATGTTGCCAAACAAAAATTATTTTAAATGTTTCAGAATCCATCGTTGTAAAATTTAACAAATAATCTAGATATCTAAAAAAAATTTTAAAATTAATAGTAAATTATTGTTTAAATTTGGTTTTGAATTCTGAAAATTAAAAAAATTATTTTTTAATTAAAATTTTTTATTTAAATCGAGACCTAATAAAAAACAATTTTTCTCGATTAATTTTTCTGAGAGATTCACGTGAAGAGATTTTTATTTAAAGGGCATCCTTTTGCGCAACAAACAAAAAATATATTTCAAAATAATATTTTTAAAAAATAAATTTTAAAAAATAAAATTGCTTTAAGTTTGGAGTTTCTTACACCCCTTTTTTTAGATTATTTCTTTAAATTATTAAAATTTAATAAAAAATAATTTATAATTATTAGAAACTATTCAAAAATTCAATGTCAACATATATAAAATTATTAATTAAACAAAAATCAACTAACTAATTTATATTAAAAACTTCTTTATTCCAATTTTATCCAAACATTAATTATTCTCCGCAACTTATTTTTGTCCGCAACTCTCTACAAGTCTCTCTCCCTCAAGACATCCTTTTAAATCCCACCCACAAATCTATTAATTCCCCCACCCTCCCTTTCTCTATCCACCTCTAATGTATAGCCATTCATTTTAAAAAAATCTTTTTAAATTATCAATTTTTAATTTAAAATTAAAATTTAATTTTTGAATAAAAACTCGAGAAAATAAATAAAATTTTATCAAGACTATTTAGATAAATAAATATTTATTCTTTCAATCCTGAAATAAATATTTTAGAAAAAAACAAAATTAGGTTATAGCATTGTTTAATAAAAGTGGTTAAATTTTTGTAAATAGTTAAATGTAAATAGTTATTAACGAGTTAAACAATTTTTATTTTTATTTGTTACAAAAGACAAATACCGTTTGTTCCTATTAACTTAACAGAGTTATACATAAATAATTTATTTATTACTGAAATTAAACTTTTGGAAATTAAAGAGAAAATTTTTAAAGAATAATAATTCTTTTTTTTAATTTAGAAATGGAGATATATAAATTTTGTTTTTATATAACCATTTTTTTGTTTGCATTGTTTCGACCTGTTGAATCATCTTCAAGTCCTCAACACAATAGTGATACGCAAATTTCTGAACCTTCTTCATCAACCATAATTAAAACTTCTGAAGTTATTGTTAAACCAAAAAAATTTGAGCGATTAAATCAAATGTAAAAAATAAATAATTTTAAAAACTATAAAGGAATAATATAATAATTATTTTATAAAATTTTTAGCACAAATAAAAGTTTATCAGAATTAGACGACGGTAAAATGAATAGCGAAAAGGGTTTGTGGGAAGAGAATAATTTTTTAAGTGAGGATGATGATAAAAACAGTGAGGTTAGTTATTCCTCATCAATGGAGAAAGAAGGTGAACAAGTTAAATCGAAAACTTCCTCAAGCTTTAGATCTTCATTAAAAAAAAGAGTTAATAATGCTAGGTAAAAACTAATTTTAAAATTCAATTTTTTTTAATTTTAGAAAATTTCTTCCCTTTGTAAAACATGAGAAGGACGAAAAACACAAAGAAATTAAAAAAGAGGAAATATTAGCCCATAATTCTTTTAAAGAAAAAGAGAAACATAAAATTAACGGTAAATTTTCTCATATTAATCAACATATGTATGTATATTTATTTATTTATTTATTTATTAGATGATAAAATTGAGAAAAGTTATATTCTTACAAGTGAAGAAGCATTACAAATGATACAAGATATTTACAATATTGATCATTACAATTCAAATTATTCGGGTCAGAATTCACAAAACGAAGAAACTTCTGAGGATAATGAATTGAATACACAGGTAGTAAAGAAGTAAAACTTGACAGAAAAAAGGGGAATCAAATATTTGATTAAATATCTAATTTTTGAAAAAAATGCCCAATTAGTGTATATAACCACAGGCTAAGTTGATTTTCAATTCTTCACCAATCAAATTTCAATCCCAAATAATTTAAATATACATATTTGACTTAGCATCCTTTTTGTCATTTAAGGCTATATTTCGGTAGTAAAATCGAATTCTAGCAGCTTTTAATTTATACATATCTATGTAATATTTTATATTTTTTTAAATTTCTAGCAAGAAACAAAGCCATTTAATCTGGAAAAATTTTCCAATAAAAACTATGGCTTTTCATACTATGTAAAGGATAATAAATCGTTTGAAATTAAATCAACTGTTGAACTTTTCAAAAACGATGAATGGAAATTTCAAAAAGTCTGTTTCTTCTTTAAAATTTAAAGAACTTAATTAATTTGTAAATTAAATTAATTAATTACTATTTTTAAGGAAGAAATTCCTGAACATATGGATACTAACAAGCACAAGGAAGGCAAAGCTTGGAATCATAAAATGATGGATTTGGCAAAAGAAATTGATAAGAAATGTTTTGTCAAAAAAGACACTTATGACCAACTTTGTATTCGTGCCCATCTTTTTGTTTTTTGCATCACATTAAACATGTACATAACAGAGCACAAACAAGAAGGAGATGGAAATATTGCTACACATTTCAAATGGTTTGAAGATTCGGCCAAAACAATTTTTGTTGAAAAGAAATATCATAAGTATAACATCAACTTATTAGTTGGTGAATATTTTAAATATTTGAATGCTCCGCAGGAAAGCAAAAATTCTGGTGGCCATGTCGAGGCCCATAAAAACACTAAGCAAATCAATTCATGAACATTACATTTTTTCCTCCTTTTTAAATTCGTTTACCCGCATCTAATTTTTATCCCCCCCCCCCTTCACACAATTTAAAAGATTATCATTTTGGAATGAAATTACCTATTCACCATTGTTTCTATTTTCACATTAATTTCTTATGATTATGACATGCAAATTTAACCCAACGAAAAAGAAAATAATTATTATCCACTGATTTTCCAGGATCTGCCTACTTTAATATATACATAGTAGGTAATAATACTACTATACAATGGTGAACTAGGTAAGTAATCCTCGACTTCAGAATTTTTTTTAATTTTCAAAATTCATTCATCCTGTGATTTTTTTATGATTTGTAACACATTTGTAACATTTTAACATTTTTTAACACATTTGTAACACACAGAAAGTAAAGCAGCTGGGCTATAGCTATTTCTCTCCTTTAGCTAGTGCAAAAGGTTATTCGGCGGCTGGGAGCGAACCAGCATCTTCAGTAGACCGGACTGATGTGTTAGCCATTACACCACGTCGCCTACTGCTCAGCCTTAGGAAATTAATAGCTATGTGCTTTACAATAACAAGTCTGTATAAATTTTTCTAGAAATTCTTTTAATTCTGTTTATATAATTTCTTATGATTATTACATTCAAATTTAACCTAACGAGAGTTTTAAAAATTATAACATTAACAGAATATGTATATGTATGTACATATATACATATTACTTTTATTTATTTACATCAAATAACTTTTAAACTTTCTTTTAATTTTAACTTTTATTTTTTATATTTAATCTTTCTATCCGATTAAGATATTGCTGTTTAGTCCAAAAACGCCTAAAAATAGCCGCTTGGTCTTCAACATTTTGATGTTGATTTAATGCCTCGTTGTTTGTTTTGAGATATTGATAACATTTATAGGCTCTGTTTACACGATTTAGATCACCTATTTTTATGAGAAAAAAATTAGTTTTAAAATATTATTTTTTAAAGAAATTTTTAACCCTGAGTAAAATCCATCGATTTCCCCATTAATGCACTATATTCAGGTACATTAGCAACTATAGTTGGCCTACCATTTTTACTTCCTTCAGTATTTTCATCTTTTTGAATGTAAATTTAAAATAAATATATTTAATAAAAACAAACAATGCATAATAGAAAAATAATCATAACGTTCTCCGTAATTACTTAATCCCATTGAACTTAATTTTTCAAAATCAGCATTTGCGCCTTTTAAATTAAATATTTAAAAATAAATTTAAAATATTTCAAATACCATCAATTACATTTTCCCACACAATACGTACAAAACCGTCTCTGTCTTCACGTTGATGTTCATGAATACTATTTAAGATTAATTAATTTTATTTTAATTTTTTGTAAAAATTAATCAAACAAAATTCCTCTATTTTCTAACAAAAAATAATAATTTTGATAAATCTGAGATCTAAATGGATATACTCTAATTTATCCAAAACAAAATTTGTTTAGCCCTTCTCCAAATTTTTTTAATTTGTTAAAAACATACAATCCTATAACATGCATAAATTCATGTATAATAGTTGCGTATTCAATACATTCATCAACTAAGGAAACTTGTTGCCGGCCTCCAACTCTTGAAAAATCAGCAAAACATCTAATATAAATTATTTTTAAAAAGTAATTTCTAAAATTATTTCTACCCATCAATTTTTGCAATATCAACATAATCTACATCTGTGGAAGTTTTTGGAACAAATCTTTGAAAAAATAAATAAAATATTCTCCTTTTAAGTACCGTATACATGTTTTTGCGTTATAAGCTGAAATTGCTAATGCAAGAACGGCTCTTTGTTGGGGTGCTAAAAATAGTATGTATAAGAATTATTTTTTAATTAATTTTAATTTAATATTTAATTAATTTTTAAAATCCTCTATTAAAATTCTCAGAAAATATTTACTATATGCTGTTGATAAAACATAAGGGATTCTTCCATTTGGCCATTTGTCCGATTCTAATACACTGACTGATCCGCGTCTTTGTCTCTTAATAATTAAAATATTATTAACTTCTAATTTATTTCTTCACTTTTCCTTTAAAAAATTTTTTACTTTTCCTTCCTTCCAAAACTTTTAATTTACTATATTTAAATTTATTTTTTAAAACCATACTTGCTCACTTTATGAAATCGTTGATCATCAAATACCAATTTTGCATGTCTATTATTTCTAACAAAAGCTGCATTTATAAAATCCTCTTCAACAAGATGATTGGGCAATAAAGGTTTTGAATTTACTTGCAACAACATTGAGCAAATTGAAATTAAATTAATAAACAAAAAATAATTTTTTAATTTAAAAATAAAATATTTCATCGACAATTAACCCTAAAAAGGTTTTGATTTTTAAAAAATTAAATATTTAAGATAATATTTAATTAAAGAACAACCATAGATAAAAGAAACCTTCGGAATTTTAAAAATATTTTTGGATTTTTAAGACAATTATATGTAATTGAATTTGACATATTTTAAATTAAATATTTAATTTGTCTTTTAAAAGATTCTTTCACAGAAACCGACAAAAATTATCAAGAAAATAATTCACGAATAAATTTATTGAACGTTGCTATTTAATTTAAAATAATTTAAATTAATTTGAAATTATTTAAAAAATAATGAACATATTTTTTGAAAAAAAAAGCAAAAAATCAACCAAAAAATTTCCGAGAGTGCTAAATAAAAAACCTTTTATTTTGTGCCTTGAGCACGATCTGTCCCTTTCTTTTAGTCCATTCACTTACCCCCTTCCGTTTTCTCTCTTACAATAATTAAATATTTTTCCGGAATTTATGTACGTATATACTTAAAAACATTTATTTGTTCAGTCTTTGTTATTGTTTCTTTTTTTTCTTTATTTTTTTTTCTTTCAATTACTTCCTTGTTCCGTTTGTCCAATTGATTATTTCCGACAAAAAATTTTTTTTTGTTTTCGAGAATTTTTATTTGACCATAGCTAATTAAATAAAAAAAAAATAATTTTTTTTCTTAATCCGAACAATTCTTTTGGCAAATATTTGTTAATTAAATATATATTTGTGTGGACGTGTTTTTGACCTGTCTTTACAATAAAATCTCTTTTTTTTTATTTCCGATTTTCTTTATTGTAGAAAATAAGTGTCGGTCATTCACTTAAGTATTGTCCTTTCTCTCTCTCTCTTGAGCTCCTTAACAAACAAAAAATAATGATTAAACAATTAGATGTTTAATTAATTCACGTAAAAATTTCATTTTTTGTTAAATTCTGGTACATATTTTAATTAAAGAAAACTTTTGTTTTAACTTAAAATGTTAAGAAAAGTCGACAATAATTTTTTTATTATTCAAATTATTTTTAATAAAATATTTTTTATATTTTTCTTCTTTGGCAATTTTAATTAAATTATTACAAAAGTCTGCTATAATTTATGGATTTGAGGGTGGATTTCTACATATACAAATACACACAAATTGAAGAAATAAAACATTAATTCTAAACTTTAATATATTTAAATTAAATTTTGAGAAAGTTAAATTTTATTTTGAATATACAATCAGACCTCGATTTTAGATATCGATGTGAAGACGAGGAGTATCTAAGATTGAGGGTAAAATTCAGATTTGTAAAAAATACTTATCCTCAGAGAGGATTTTCTTTTTACCTTCCTATTTAATTTATAGGGAAAATATCTCAGATTAATTATTCCACAGAATAATTAATCTAGATAAATAAACAAATAAATTTAACACAAATATAAAAATTCTTTATCTTCAATCAAAAAATATTCACACAGAATATTATAAAAAATGAATATCTCAAAAGACATTGAAAAGTGAAATTTCTGCCTACTTTATATAGGCAAAAATTTCTATAATAAAAATGATGCAATGTAAAGTACATTGCAAAAAAGTACATAAAAAATTGTCAAAAAAGGAAAAGTGACTCACTGAGTCACCTCCAAAAATAATAAACAAAATTCCTCAAATTATATAAAAAATATCAAAAATATTTAAAATCTTTAAATCCTCAATTTCGTCATCGACAAGATTTGCGTTTCCTCATTTTCTCATTTTTATCTCCCGAGAAAATAAAGAAAAAGTGTTTTTCGATATTTTTGAGGTTTGGAGGGTGCCAAGTCTAAATATGTATAAGTTTAAATTTCGAACGTGTCAGTTTGGCCAAAAAAGTTTCGATTTAAAATTGAATTCGAAAATTAACATACCTATTTGTTAAATTCAAAAAAATAACTATCTAAAATAACATTCAAGTGTCTTATTTTTGCGTAACTAAATTCAAGGGCCGACTATAATAAAAAGTTAATTATTTAGGCGGGTGCCGGAATTTTGGTCACCGGAATTTTGGTCACCAAGGATTTTCGGAACTTTGGTCACCAACTTTTTTGGAATTTTGGTCACCAGCGGAATTTTAGTCACCAAGTCAAAAAACGGAATATTGGACACTGAAATTTTGGTCACCAATAGGAATTTTGGTCACCAAACGGAAAAAAATAATCTTATCTAAAACTGATATCAAAGTGATAAAAAATGATTTTTCAACCCCCAGTTGATCAATTTCAATGTTGATCACTAGGGACAGCCAAAATATGCACGGAAAATTGCCAAATATGCGCATATATATGCACCGAAAAAGCCCAAAATATGCATCAAAATATGCAAAATTTGCCAAAATATGCAGTGAAATATGCACCAAAAAATAATTAAAATATGCTTTAAAAATCAATATTTTAATTTAAAAACACTAATTTAGCCTTTAATTTTACATTTTATGAGCACTTCTAAAGGATTTAATATATTTAAAATTTCTGCAAAAATTTTCGGGAAAAAAATTTTCCCCAAAAAATTTTCGAAAATATCTTTTCAAAAAATTTTCATAAAAAAATTTTTATTTTGGTCCATATTTAGGCATTTTTTGTAAATTGCCTAAAAGGCATTTTTTGTAAATTTTCATAAAAAAATTTTTTTGACCAAAAAATTTCAAAATTTTGGTCAATTTTTGGCAAAATTTTACAAAAAATGCCTAAATATAGACCAAAATATGCAAATTTTGCCAAAATATGCACAAATATGCAAATATGCACGAATGGTCGAAATATGCAAATATATGCATTAAGAACCGGGTCCTAAAGTGCTCGTACCTATGTAAAAACACCATTTTTGGGCTTCCCACTTCAAGGCATATCCGCATACAAAACATGCATTTGCATGTTTTGGCTGTCCCTATTGATCACTCTCATGGCTGATCACTCCCTCAGTTGATCACTCTCGATCACTCTTCCGGATGATTGATTAACTGGCAGAGTGATCAACATTGAAATTGATCAACTGGGGGTTGAAAAATCATTTTTTATCACTTTGATATCAGTTTTAGATAAGATTATTTTTTTCCGTTTGGTGACCAAAATTCCTATTGGTGACCAAAATTTCAGTGTCCAATATTCCGTTTTTTGACTTGGTGACCAAAATTCCGCTGGTGACCAAAATTCCAAAAAAGTTGGTGACCAAAGTTCCGAAAATCCTTGGTGACCAAAATTCCGGTGACCAAAATTCCGTACACCATTTAGGCAAATAATTTATTAATTGTATTATTTATTTTTAAAGTTATATTATTATTAGAATATTTTTATCTAAAATAAACCTTACTGGATTTTGATTTAAATTTAAAAAAATAATTATTTTTAACAAATTTTTTTGTTTATAAAGTTAACGTAATTTTTGTAAAAATTTAAGTAATTTACAATTGTTTATTGTTATAGTTAATGAAAATGAATAAAAAACATAAAATTAAATATACAAAATAAAATTTAAATTAAATTAATCAAAGCCAAATAAAACTAATGGATTGATCACATCTCTAAAACTTTCAAGACAGGAGTTCCCATTTCCTGTAGAAACATCATTGTAATGCATTTTATAAGAATTTGACAACAGCATTGTTGTAGCATTTTTTAAAAGATGAAAGAAATTAAATTCTTTTAAGTTATCTACAGTAAAAACACTAATATGTAATAATAACATTAATTTTATATACGTAAATTTTAAAAACTTGTAAATAAATAAATAATCAACATTAAATATAACCAAAATCACTAGAAAAGCCGGTTAAGGTCGGAGCTTCTATCTTTTTTCGTCGTCGACAGCCCGAGCACTCTCCTCCGTCATCCTCCCTACCAAAAACCCCTTTCTTTTTATTCTATACATTCTTCCTCTCTTAATCTCAACTAAAAATTTTCGCAAATGCTGCTGCTTTGTTGGAGGAAAGGGAAGAATGTCGAAATGGACGGAATGTTGTGTGTATGTTGAGGAGAGATCGACCGCCCGCGTCGTTAACGTCCCGAACATTATCGATTTTCGCAAACTCAACATCATTGAGAGAAAAGCCAGAGTAGTATTAAATGTCCGACCAACCAACCCGACATTCATTTTACTCTACTACTTACTGTTTTCCTTCTCTACATTCGTAAATTTTTCTTTTTTTTTCATAGACACGACAAACATAAATATATTAGAAATAATTTTCTTATTCACAAGTTAAATTTACATTCAAACACCGGAATTTTATTTTATTGTTAGACTGGATATTAAACAATAATTATACTCATTTTAGACTAAAATTTCGTAACTACTATTTTTGTTTTCTTTTATTTTTAAGTTTTTAAATGAGTAAAGTACTTATCGAAACTTTTTACTTTACCAGGGGATCCAGCCGTTCCGATTTCCGAAAATAAAAAATTAAAATTTCCTCGGGAAATTTCCATTAGGAAACTTCCATTCCTTAAATTTGAACATTGTTTCCGCACATATTTTGCCATTTAATTTGGATTTTGGCAATTTATTTATTTTTTAAAATTTTTGTACATATTTTACTGTATTTATCTAATGAGTAAAGTACTGTACTTCCAAAATAAGTACGAATTCTCCCTCTGTTTATAAATATTTTAGTAATTTAATTCTTTAATATGTTTTTGTAGTAACCTTAAAATATTTTTTATTAAAATAATGGAAAATTATTATTGTCGTGAATTTATGTCGTCTTCTCAAACGGCGGCTAAATTAGTTTTTAATATTGGAAATTGGTAATTTTTGTACATTATTTCTGAATTTATTTTCCTATAATTTTAGTGTGGACACAAGTCGTGTTCTTCGTACAAGACCTAACCGTCCTCTCGATTCTAACGGGCGAGAGGCTTTTGTTTATATTATGGATGGATCAGCAGCACATAGCATTAAAGATTTAACAATTGATGATTTGACTCCATGGAATTGTGGGGCTTTCTTTTAAATTAAAAAAAAATTCTTTAAATATTTCTAGCTAAAAAGTGTAAATCCTCAACACGTTTTAGTTCTGTTCATTTTGACAATGATAGAAATACTCTTGTCTTTAACCGTTATATTATTTCTGATGCTACAAGTATTTTATGCAAACCACAGTGCCTTTTTGGTGAATTTATTTAAAATAAAAATTATTTTACTTTTAATTTTGTAGCCTGTTATTATTGTAAACATCCAGTTTTTGATCTTGTTAAAAAGATTTTTTATGCTTGTGATGGAAATAGAGATCAATGTCTTCCTGGTGGGTTTTGAAAAATACTTTTATTTATTCTAACAATGTCCTCCTCCCTTTCCTAGTTAGTATTACGTTAGAAAAAACGGTTCTTTATATACAGATTTTTACTTACACCCATACGTGTATGGGTGATTTAGAAACTATTTCTCTCACATCCTACAATTAAACGGACTTTTTTTTCAAAATATTTTTTTCCTTTATTTTCAGGAACTTTTGTAATCTTTGCTTACGAGTTTAATAAAGCTGAACGTATTTATCGAACACTTCGAAGCTATCCATCTCCAAAGATTGGTCCAAATACGAGTGATTCAAAGAGCATTTCTCTAGGGAATGGTGCTTCTAATTTTGCTGCCAGTTCTTTTATTCCTCAACAACAATTACCTTCAATTAAACCTCAAAATTCGCCAATTAATGTACTGACTTCTTTTTTAATTTTTCAAAAATTATTTTCAGAATTCATTTCAACGTCATTTTCTTGAATCAAGTGCTCCACTTAAATTGGAAGATTTAACTGATTGGGCAACAGAATTAAATACAGATTCAAATAATACTTACAATTTGGATAGTGTTCTTGCTGGACAGGCAGATTTAGCGCACACATCCTCTACTTCAACTACTTGCTTAGAAGAAATACTTCAGTCATGTTCTGAGGTGTTTTTAAAGATTAAAAAAATATTTTTTAAAAATTTCTTTAGCAAGTAAAAAATCAACAAAAAATTCAAAGAAATGGAAGTTCTATGAGCAATAATGAGGATGTTTTGATTGATTCTCCTTCATTCTTAACATCTTCTAATGATGACCATAATATTGCTAGAAAGAAAAGAAAAATTACTTTTCAACCAATAAGTTTAGAAAATCATCAAATGCCGGCAATTCTTGAAAGAGAAGTAAATCAAAGATTGTTTTTAGGTGAAAGAAATGGTGGTAATTTTGATAGTCCATCTTCTTTATTAGCAGGAGATCGTTCAATGTAGAAAATAAATTCTTTTAAAAATAATTTTAATTTTCCGATTTAGTAGTCCATCATCTCCTCAAAGTGTTTCAGTTATTGCTGATGGAGATGGAGGAGAACCAATTCCAATAATTGATAAAACTTTAATACAACATTCTAATTATTTGTTTACTTGTGAAGCTTTACTAGAGAATTTTCGAAAGAATTGTCTTTGTAATGGAAATAAATTAAATGAACAATTTGATTCTATTGATGAAAACTTTTTAAATATTTCTTATGAAGGAGATGAAAAAACTAGAGAGGAAAACAGATTAAATGCAATACAAAAGGCTACAGAGCAAATTGACGGTTTTGGTGGATGTTTAATTGTTAGTTAATTTTTGAAAATTAAGCACAAATCTACTTTATCCCAATATTTTTTGATCATTATTTGGATGAGTTTCTTAATAGCTTTACATTTGGATGAGTTTCTTAATAGCTTTACATGCTTTCCATTTATCTTTCTAATCTTAATTTCCTTAACATTCAGATCGACAAAAACTTCCAAATCGAAGTAGAAGGCAACACAACATTTATCACCCCAATCTGGTTTCGAAATTCGTCTTTTATCGATAGAAAATTAAAACAGCCAGTTCTTCACCCTGTGGCTGTCTACCTAAATATGAAAAATATGTTGGAAGATGACAGTCGTAGAGATATTTTGATTGAATTATCAAAACGTTTAGAAGAAGATATGGCAATTAATGGAAATATTTGTCGGTATCTTCGTAACTCTTTTAACTAAAAAAATATTTTTTTAAATTTCAGTTCAGTATTTATTTGTTCAACAATTAATTCAGAAAATAACCAATTAGAATTACTCGACTCCTCAACTTTATTTGCCTCTCCAAGTATTAAATTAATATCTCTTCAACAATGCAAAGACTGGCTTAAACAAAAATTTTTAAATTTATATTTTGGAAATAATCATTTAAATGAAGAAAAAGAATGGAATGAAGAAATGGAAGAAAATTTTAAACAGATTGGATGTCAACTTTTTGATGACAAAAATGGAATTCTACAGACTTTGTGTTTTGAACAATTTATTAACCGTTTACGGACTTGTGAACGTTGTTGGCCTTATACTTTTAGATCTTGGTTTTAAAAGAAAAGAAAATTTCACAAAAAATTTTTTTACAAAAATTTCTAGGTTTCGAGAAAAAAGTGGTTGGATATTCGAACATTGCTCCCTCGCCTCTCGTATCAAAGCTGGTTTTAATCTCGAAAATAATTTAGAAGAATTGGACATTTCTTTGGAGCCTTTACGGGAAACAATGTCTTCTAGCCTTGCAGCTGCCCTACAAGGAGGAGCAAATGGACAATTCGAAATGGAAACTGCAACAGAAGCTTTGGAATTAATTTGTACTGGTCTGTGGGAATTTTTCCTCAAAAAATTCAATAAAAATAATTTTTGTAGAATATCTCCGAAAATCATTAAATACTCTTTTGGACCCGTTAAATGATGAACAATCATCTTCTGAATTTATTTTAGCTAAACCGAATATATGGATAGGACAAGAGAAATGGGAAAAACTTTCAGCAAAAGGTGGAAACATTTTTTTATATGAATTTTATTTCTTTTTGTTTTCAGAAAGAGGAGAATTACTGTTGCCTTTGGGGCTTTCTTCACTTTTAAATGTTACTGATTCACTTGATCCGTCACTCTTTTGGGGTACAAAATTTTTTTATTAAAAAATTATTAGAAAATCCTCAACCTTGTACTTCAACTCTTAGGAATGACTTACAATTGGAAGGAATTGGAAATATGCATATTTATTATCTTTCATTCCTTAGGAACTGGTTTTAGACTAAAAACTTAAAATTTAAAGAAGGAAAACAGAATTAATTTCTCTAAATAATTTGAGAGATTCTTTCTTCTAAATATCAAAATTAATTCAAATATCTCTATTTTAAGGTATAAATCGGAAACAAAGAAAAGAATTAATTTCTCGTGCAAATCCACTTTCTGTTTTGGAAATTGATGGAATTAAAAGACAACAATTAAATGATATTTCTTTAAATAAAAATCAAGAAATTATTTCTACTTTTGTAGTTACAGATGGAATAAAAAGAATAGCTAATTACGTAGAGGCTATAGAAGGGACAAATAATGGCAATCTTTATTGCCAATGTTTAGGGGGTTTTAAATCAATTTTTATTTTTTCCTAAAAATCGTTTTAGGTCCTTTGTGTGAACATATTTTAGCTGTAGCACTTAAACATGCTTCTTTTGCCAAAAAAGTTCCAAAACTGTTAAGCAAGAATCAATCACTTAATAAATCAACAGATATAGATACACCCCCTTCACTTGTGCCTGGTCTTCAATTGGAAAGGTAAAAAAAATAAAATTAATATAATTCAATAATTAAATTATTTCTAGTACACAATCAGTTGAAATTATTTGTTGTTCTTCATCAAATGGGTCCACACAATAATTTTATTACAAAGAATTTAATTAATGAAGGATGTTTATAAAAAATAATTTGCATTTAATATTATATTTATTTTGATTTATTATTGACAATTGAATTTTTGTAATAAAATATTTTCGTAACTACAATAAATTATTGAAATGAAAAGCTATATTTTAGTAAAACTTATTCGAGTTTTGAAATTTGAAAGTGCAGAAGGGTATTTGGAGGAAAGTAGTTATTGTTTCAATAAATCACTAAGGAGAGGGGGATAATTAATCGAGAAGGGGCATTTATTTGAGAGGGGGTAATTATTCAAACATATACAGTATGTATTGTGGAATATTGAATTTTAAAATAATTTGAGAAAAGCAGAAAGGATGAATAAAATAAATTCAACAACAATCTCGCAAAAGTCCCGAAATTATTCAAAAATAAATTTTATACAGAGGCCAGACCGGGAGAGTCGTACGAGAATCGAGATCAATATCTCGAAAAATATCTATCAGGATAACTGAGAATTTTGTTCGAGATGGACCGGCCGTTATTTCAATATGTAAATAGAATAAATGAAGATTTTGTTAAAACTTGGGTGAAATGTGAATGTAATTTTCGTTTGTTTTAAATTCGGTAGTTGGAATCAAATTTAAAACCAAATGTTTCTAGATTATAGTACATATGTACATATGTATGTATTAATTGTATTTTTATTTAATATCCTCTTTTGCTTAAATTACGAATTCTCTAGACTAATTATAAAGGAAATAAAAGTGCATTTAATCAAATGATGAAAAAGATAAAATGATGAAATTATTTCAAAATAATTGTCGGAAACAGACATGCCAAACAAAAATTTTGGCTATAAAATCGGCATCCAATCAAGGCATTTCCATCATATTCACAAACAACTAAAAGAGAGAAAATGTATTTCAAGGCTTTTCTCCTCCTTTTAATTTCTCTTCTTGCCGCTTTTGTGGTCAACAATGCTCGAACCATTTCTAATATGGATGAAGTTGATGATGTGTCAGCAACAATGCCTGGAAAGAAAAATAATGTGGGAGAAAAGTCCAATCAAGTACTCCCTCAAGGTGAGGAAGAAATGGATGATTTAACTGAAGAGTACGATGATTCAGATGATTCTGAGGAAGATGAGGACTATGATGATGAAGAGGATGATATGGATGAGGATAATGATGTGAATAGTCATGATTATCTTAACTCACGAATCGATCATATGGATGACATTGATTCGTTTGAAACATACGAAGAGTTGCCTCATATGGAAAATTATGGAAAGATGGCTGAAGAAAAGCAAATGATGCCTGTTATGCACATGAATGCTGTTGAAAACGAACACTATAAACAACTTCCATCACTCGCCACTCAACCAATTAATGAAGCTAATCCGATTATGCCTCCGATGCCAGTTGTTCAACCAGAAAAAATGGAACAAGCACCAGAAGCCATGAAAAAAGAAGCTACACCACAGGCATCACAACCATCTTCACCAAAGGCTGCAACACCAAAGGCTAAGACTTCAAAGCCAAAAACAGAAGTAAAAAAACCGTCCGCTAAAAAAGTTCAGGCATCAAAAGGACCAAAGAAACAGCCAGCTAAGAAGGATACGAAAAAGCCAAAAGATGTGAAAAAGCCCAAGGATCCAAAGGCTAAAACGGCGAAAGCTAAAGTACCAAAGGCAAAGGGTAAAGCTGCTAAGGGTAAAGCTGCAAAACCAGCAAAAGGCAAACCAACAAAGGGTAAACCAGCAAAAGCAACTAAAGCAGGACCAAAGAAACAGCCGGCAAAGAAAGGAGGAAAGAAACCTGCTAATAAAAAGGCGACGACAAAAGGAGGAAAGAAGCATTAAAGGAAGAAAAATAAAGAAAGTTGTAAAAAATACACATGTACTTTGAAAAAATGAACTGAATTTTATGTATAATTATTAGTTTTACAATCTATTACATATGTACATTTAATGCTACATTTGTAAATTCTTTAAAATATGTATTAATTTCAAAATTATTTAAAAAAATAAAATAGTAAATATGTATGTAGTTCATGACTAAATTAAAAATTTTGAAGTTTCTTCAATTTTAAGTTATTAAAAAAATAAATTTACAAATTTAAATCAAAATTTAAAAATTTTTGTTTTTGAAAAAAATAATTGTCTAAATTTTATTATCCAACCATGGACACAAACCAAGCCCCACAAAGTATTAAAGTGAGTTAAGCCTGACTTCTAAACCACTCAACCACCGATCAACAAAGTAAAAAGTAAAATAAAGTATTCTTTCTCTTTTCCTTCTAAAATTTCATGACAAAGTACGAGGTTTTTTTCAATAATATTTTTTCGTAATTTTTATTTTCGTAATTCGTAATTTTTCCCGATATTTGCGTAATCGTAACTCAAAAAATGCCTAAGTCGAATTCGTAATTACGACGCAGCCCTGGTTCCGTCAATTTGCGTTTTTTGGGTTGCGCCGTTTTGGCCCGCGCCGTTTTGGGCTGTACCTCCCGCCGTGAGCGCTTTAATGCAGAAACTTACGGCTAGACAACTAATTGAACACTCAAACATGACCATTGACCAAGACAATCAAAGCGTTATTTTTTGATTTTTATAGTTTTAATGAAGGTAAGAAGAGATTAATTCAACATTTTATTTCTTTCAAATCACCTTCTACTATTTGCCCATGCATCATTTTATTTTTAACGAATTTTTCCATTCGTATTTAGTTTATAATCTCACGAATTTTCTTTTAGATTTTTTTTTTCAAAAAATATAACAATTATGGGTAACGTCCAAACATCATCAATTGCAAATCAATTACTTCCTTTCGAATCATATATTTCTGATGTACCTAAACTTAAATTTGTTGAAAGGTTTTTAATTTTTTTTCTAACTAAATTTTTTTAAATTTTAGCCTTGGATCAACTCGTTTTATGAAAGTTGCAAGAGTAGAAACTGCAAAAGGTCCTATAGTCGTTAAAGTTTTTGTTTTCTCTGACCAATTTTGTCATGTTGAATTTTATCGTGACCAACTACAACAAATTGGACGAAGACTTTTATCACATCCAAATTGTGCTCCATTTAGCCATATTTATGTAAATATTTTGATTTTTTCTAATTTTTGGAATCTTTAAAAATTTAGTTAACAGCCCGGTCTGCAATTCTTTGCCGTCCTTTTTCTAAATTTACACTTTATGACCGATTGAGTACTCGCCCTTTTCTTTCGACTATTGAAAAACGTTGGATAGCCTTTCAATTGCTCAAAGCATTTGCCCAACTTCGAATTGCTATGATTAGACATGGAGATATTAAATCCCAAAATGTTCTTGTTTCTTCTTCACTGTGGATTAGAATTACTGATTTTGCTCCTTTTAAACCAACTTTTTTGCCTTATGTAAATATTTTTTTATTTTTTTTTATAATTTATTGTTTAGAATAATCCATCGGATTTTACATTCTTTTTTGATACAAGTAGACGACGTTTTTGTTATTTGGCGCCGGAGCGCTTCAAAGACAACGACGAGCTTTTAATGGAAGCCAATCGAAATTATGGCAACAATGAATTTATTAATTTCTATGAAGGTTTTTTTTGTATATTTCTTTTAATATTGTTTCCTTTTTACATTTGAACTTTTATCAATTTTTATATTAAAAATTGAAAAAACTTTTTTATCGACCTCTCAAAATTTTTCCATTTTCACTGTTTTGATGGGCTAGCTCCAACCTAGTAGTCCCAACCTTTTTATATATATATTTTCTCATTTCCTTAATTTTTATTTAATTTTTAATTTAGGTCTAACTGAAGCTATGGATATTTTCGCACTAGGCTGTTTATTTGTCGAATTATTCACTGATGGTCGTCAGGTTGCATTTAATCTACCACAGGCAATTGATTATAAACTTATGGATGATGAAAGTGCAGAGATTTATTTGAAAAGATTGCTTTCACATATTTCTGAACAAGAATTTGTCCCTTTAATTAAAATAATGTTAGATAGAAATCCAAAAAGAAGAAGAGAAGAATTTCTTAAGGTTTTTTTAATTTGAAATTTTATTTATTTTTAATTTTAAAAAGCTCTCACCATGTTCTTCATATAATTTATTTCCTCCCATATTTGAAAAATATTTGTATAATTATTTTAAAGAACTCCAAGAGCAACCAACTCCCGATGCTTTAATTACAAAGTTTTTTTTAAAGTTTTTAATTAAAAATAATAAAAATATCAGACTTTATGTTGAACGAGACAATTTTATTTCAATGATTCGTGATCTCGATTGTTCCTCAGTTTCTGTGTTGTTTATTAATTATGTTTGCGTTTCTCTACGCAGTTGTCAATCATTAACATCGAAAATGGTTTGATTTAAAAATTATTTTTTTAATTTAAAATTACTCTTCATTTTAGGATGCAATTTCACTTTTACATCAATTATCTAAAATTTGCACTCCTGTATTAGTTTTTGAGCGTATTATTCTTTATTTGGCAAATTCCTTAAGTGATTACTTTGCATTGGTTCGGGCAGAAGCTTTGTTAGTTTTGGGAGAAATACTTTGTTCTGTTGAAATAATTCCGCCAGAAGAATGTCGATTGATTGACTTTATTTTTCCAAAATTTGTTTGTTAATTCTTATTGAATATAATTTATTTTAATTTTCTAGAAACTTTTATTAAATGATCCTTCAAATCTTGTTAAAATTGCTCTTGCAAGCAATTTAGGCAAATTCGCTCAACTTGCTAAAAGGTTATTTTTTGATTTTATATATTTTATTCTAATATATTTTAGATTTTTTGAATTAAATGCAGCTCGTCTTCGAAGTGACTCACCTGAGCAACAATCCCAAAAAGATTCAAATCTCTCTCAACTAGATCCAAAAGCTGCTTTTGTTTCCCCTCCTTTAGACATGGGAAAGAGTAGCACAAGACTGGAAGTTTTCTTAAGTAATGAAAAACAACATCTGATAGAAACCGAGTATAAATCATCTCAGGTTTTTTAAAAATATTTGTAAAATAAAAGGAGAAAGGGATCCAATAAAGAGTTGAAAACGGTTTAGTATTTGAATTTATTTTTTACATTTGAGACTTACAATTTATTGACCCAATTCCTAATAAATTCAAATTCTGAATGACGCTTTTGTCATTTCCCCCGGCTCATACATATTAACAAAATTCTTAGGACGCCATTACTGAACTGTTTGTAACACTTTGTGGCTCAGAAAATGAAGTTCGGCGATGTATTTTTGAAGCGACAAATTTGGATTTACTTTGTCAATTCTTTGGAAGTTCAAGAATTGTTGATGTTTTGTTGCATATGATCTCGTTTGTTTTTTTGTTTAAGCGTTTTTATTAAATTTTAGATTATTAAATGACAAGAATGATTGGCGTATTCGTTCAGCATTTTATGAGGCTTGCCCAATTCTAGCCAAACATTTGGGACAAAATAGAACGAGCAAATTAAAGCCATTTCTTTTGTCAGGACTGCAGGACAGTGAGGAGTTTGTTGTTATCGAAGCATTTCGTTGTATTTATTTGCTACTGTCCCAGCAGTTATTATCATCTTCTGTAATTTTCAATATTCTCCCAGATGTTGTTCCATTTCTAATACATCCCGTTAGTTTTTTATGAATTAATTTTTAAAAATAATAAATTCAGAACAAATGGTTAAGAGTTATTGCAGTAAATATTTTGACCGTTCTAGAATCTTCATTTTCTATTGCTGATATTTATTGCAAATTAGTACCACTTCTTCAACCATTTCTTAAAGAACAATTAATTAGATTGAATTGCTTTGATTTAATTTACGAAACCTTGGAACAACCAATTTCACGACAAATTTGGGATTTACTTTTAAGTGAGTCTTTTCAATTAGTTAAACTAAATGTAAAATTTTTTAAAGAAGAACATCATTCATTTGAATTAATTTCTGCCATTGAGGAACGTAAAACTGTTGAAAAACTTGGTGGTGGTAATGACTCATATTTTTCTTCACTTGGGTCATTGTCGGCAAATGTTAAGAATAATCGTTATAAAATAGATTCATTAATGCGTAAAATAAAAAATACGGGAAGTACAGATGAAAGATTGGATATTAAGCTTATTGCCTTTAAACATTTATTTGGTCGGATAGAAAAATCAAAAAGGTAAATACTTTTTATTATTTAAAAATTTTACTAAAATTTAAGAAGAGATCGCATTGAAAAATATTTGGATTTATCTAGAATAAATTTAAATGAAATTGAAAGAGTCCATCGAAAAGTTTTTGATTTGGAAAGAGGTGTACATAGAAAAGGACGTGAATTAACTGTAAATCTCAATAAATAACATTTTTTATTTTTATATTTTAGTCAAGTCATTTTTTTGTTGATCAGTTTGGTGCACAACATGTTATGCTTAATACATCTGAATTGATTAAACCTGCAAATGTAGTTGATTTAAATGATGCAAATCATTCAGCATTGAACCAACGGGTACTGGGTAAGCTTATCTTTATTTTATACATAAAAGTATATTTTGCTCTTCAGATGAGTCCTCTGAACGAATTTTACTTGAAGAAACTCTACGGCATAAACAGGAACGTTATACTGACCAAAAGAGAATTACAACTAAAGTTAGTGAATCAAATTCAGAAATAGCCGAAAGAATAGCTGCTGCAGCTATCGAAGCGGGTACTAGTAGTGAAGATGATAGGGCAATATCATCCAAAGATGGTAAATCTTTTTCTTATTTGATCTTATTTGGCAATTTTTTTAAGACTTAAATTCCCGACAAAGGATACTTCGCAGCTCAAGACGGCTTAATATTCGTATGCTTGCTCATCTACATGAACATTCTGGAAAAATAACTAGGTTTTTCTATAATTTATTAGAACAACTTAAGAAATATTTATTTGATTAGGCTTGCAAGCCATTCAGCACACGATTATATTGCAAGTGCTAGTGTTGATAAATCTGTTAAAATTTGGTCATCTTCCCTCTTACAAAATCAATCACAACCTGCTTCGATGTCTTTGGACACTTTTCGATATTGTAATTATTCTATTTCTTTAAAAATTCAAGAAAACTATTTTAAGCACATCCAATTAATTCATGTAGTTTTATGGGCGATCGTGGTAATCATCTCGTAATGGCGTGTGCTGACGCCTCTCTTCAATTATTTGACATTGAACGTAAACATTTAATAAAATCAGTTCAATTGAATAGACAACAAGAAGGCCCAATCACTGATTTGTATTCTTTTGAACATCTAATTTATGCTTTGACGCATCATAGTAGTGTTTTTTGTTATGATTTGAGGTAAAAGAATATCACAATACAATTTTTAGATTTACCTTTTGCAGGGTTGCACCAAAGAAAGGACGAAATGCGATTGATCTCTCCTCTGTTTGGCAACATAGAGTTAAGAATAGGTTCAATTATTTTTGTTTTCTATTGATGAATGTTCCTTTGTAGTTACGGTTTAATTACTTCATTTTGCATTGACTCTTCTAATCAACAATGGATGCTACTTACTGCTAGTTCGGCCACGACCAAAAATATGCTTTTGTGGGATTTAAGGTTGACTCGATAATATAATTTTAGAAAATCTCATTTATTTTAGATTTGCAGGATTAGAAGTAGCAACCTGGTCTCATCCTTCAGATAGAATAATTCCATTACGTAGCTGGTAAGTATACGCATTTAACCAGTTATAGTATTTTTATTTTTGAGGCATCTTTCAAATCATCGTGTTATAACAAATTGCACACGGGAATCTGAATTGTCACTTTGGGATATTTCTTCACAAAGCAGATCTGACGTTCTTTGGCCAAGCGTTGAAACACCTTTGGTTTACAAGGTTGTCTATTGAAACGAAAAATAATAAAAATTTAACTTTAGAACGAAATTGTATCTTCAGCCGTTGCTCCTTCGTTGAGTGATCGAGAAAATATAATCTTCAGTGGGGATTCTGAAGGTACTTATATTTTTAGAATGTTTTGAACAAATTAAAAAATAAGGCAGTCTTCGGGCTTGGAATTTATCCACCCCGAGTGCTTCAACTTATCTCTGTGGTCCATATCGTCGACACTTGCCTATACTTGAAAGTATTAGTGACTTACAACAAATAAAAACCCCAATGATTTACTATAAACAAATAAAATGTCAAGACAACGCACTTAAAATTCATGTGGAAGATCGCAGTCAATTACTGACACAAACAGATGGAAGTGAAGAACAACAAATGACATCACTTTCTGGTGGAGGTGGACAACAAAAACTTTTACATGTAAAATTTTAAATTTTCACTACAGTATTTATTTTATAATATTAGGTACCAGAGGCTCACTGGGATGGAATTACTGATTTAATTTCATTATGGCCAGATCTGTTAATTTCTTCGGGACGTGAAGGTGTTATTAAACTTTGGAAAGTTTGCTGAAGTTCAGTCAGTAGAGATGTGCAGGACTATTGGTTTTGAAACTTATGATTTTCTTAGGGTTCGGTCCCGCACGTCTCTGTTTAAATTTATATAAAAATTTTATATTTTCTCAGCGTTTTTCTCTTTTTCTTGACTTGTGCTAAATGATTTTCTTGCCTTTTACATATTATAAAAATTTATTTTGTATAAAGTGATATTATTGAATGTTATAAATAGATATCGACTAATATCTGTCGTTTAATTAATAATAAAAATTGCAAGAGTCATCCTTATTTTTTAACAATTTAGTAAAATACCCTTCGTTGAAATGGCAGTTCAGGCAAATGTGCAAACACAGCCGTCTTCTTCTACTTCTACTGTTTCTACTTCTAAAGAGAAGCAATTTCATTCAGTAGAGGAATATCGGAAGGCGCTTGAAAATTTTGAAGCTCCAAATGTGGTATGTGATTATTGATATGATCGTTCATAAGTTGTAGTTAAGTTATTTTACATTTGATTTTTAGGGAGGAGAAATTAACTCGACAGCATCTGAAGAAATTAGTCGATCCAGGGACCCACTCATCGATGAATTTTTCGAACTTATTGCCAACACTGGCCGACCTCACCTTCCTTGGGAATTAATTCAAAAAGCATTTATATGGAAATTACAGGTGTTTTTTAAAAACATTTTGGAAAGAATTTCTTTTAAAGGCTGTTATGGATGGAATGCATATAATTGAGGCTGGACAGCAAAAAGATGATCATAAGAAGGAAGAATTAATTAATGATAAAGAAATTGGTGATCTAAAGCATTTTATCATGGAAAAAGCTAAAGAATTTGATGGCACGCCGTTTACTATACAAAGGTAAAAATTAAATTTAATAAACTATTTAAATAAATTCAGATTATGCGAGCTTTTAATTGAACCAAATAAGCACTACAATCGAACAGGGGTGTTTTTGCGGGCTTTGGAGAAGAATATTAATGTGGTATGTTTATAAAATTTTAAAGGGCATTATATTTAATAAACGAAAATTTTGAATTTATTAAAAATTTTCGAAACAACAAAAATAAAAATTTCACCGTGTTAATCTTTCTGAAAAATAAAAAAATTGTTATTCGATTTTATTAAGATGACTACAATTACAGAAGACGGTCTGAGGATTACTGGTACGTTGATAAGATTATTACATCATAGAATTAGTATCTTACTTCAAATATTTATACAAGCAATTTTGTTTAGGAGTAGAAGATGAAACAGCAATTGGTATGGAAGATGATGTTTCAGTTCCTGTTGAGTGTAATTTTATTGTTAGTGTAAGTTTTTTATATTATTTGTTGCAGGAAGGATTTTAAGATAACCAAAAAGAAAAAATATTTGTGATCGTCCGTAGCACCACAAAAGGACCTTTTATTCGGCCATACATATGTAGTTTGCTCATTACTAACAACAGGGTGTGGGTATTTCCATGCAGATAAGGGGACTAGTTCCTTACCAAGAGTTAATATTTCTATACGTAGGGACAATACATAAGTACCGTGAAAGATTTTCAGGTTGATGAAATAGATGAACCATTAACAAAAAAGATAGCAAAACAATCTCAAAATGGCACAAGAGTAGAAAGTGGTGTTACAATTAATAAACCTATTTCGACTAATATTCAGAATCAAAATAATGGGGAAGATGAAGAACAGTCTTCAATTGTTGGAACATCAAATATAAAAGAAGAGACTACAACAACTTTCGACAATGAAGATAAAGAAAAGGAATATGAAAGGAAAGTTGAAATAAAATTGGATGGAGATAATAATACTTAAATATTAAATTTTGATATTAATAATTGTTTTTAATGTTTTTAGACAAATAAATGAAAATAAATCAGGCAATTTTGATCTAAAAAATCCGCATTTTATATTAAAAGTCCTCAAATTATCAAATACAATGACTTCAACTATTTTGAGCACTTTTTTGTGAGTTTGTAAGGTCGGAGAAGAATTCACTTTTTTGTGCAATTTTTAAGGAATTGTTGTTTTGCGCAGGTCTGATTCCAATTGCATATATTATGTTATAAAAATTTTTGAGATTCTTTTGATTGTTTTTTGATCAAAAAACATCTTTATTTTTATAACACGCATTCTTTGCGTGAAAACTGGGTCAAGGTTTTTTTTATCCTAAAAGCTGTTGGTGCAAGATTCATTTACTTCATCGATAAAATTTTCTAGAATTGTTAACTATTTATAGAAATCAACATTTTAAGTAAAAACAATGAATAATATTATAAAAACTTTTAATATTGGAGATCGAATAAATATATTCATTGCCCTTCTTCTTTTAACACTTTCACTAGCTTTTGCATTATCTTCTGTTTTTAGTGATTTTTGGGTTAGTTTTTTTTTGAAAAATACTTTCAAAAAAAAATTAAAATATATTATGTAGATATATGCAGATTCATTAACAAGGAATGGGACAATTTCAGAAAATAATCAAATTAACAGTGGGATATTTCATGGTGTTAGACAAATTGATTGGTCGTTTGGTCCTAAACGAAATCATTTTTCTGGTTAAATAATCCCCCTTTTTAAATATTTTTAAAATAAATTTTAAAAAGTTTTTGATGAAATAAGAATTGGTGTAGCATTTATTGATAAACATATTTGGTTTGGAATTTTGTTGTCAACAGGTCTAGGTCTTTTATGGAATTTAACAGGGATTTTTGTTGCGTTAAGAAATGCTACATTATATAATAATGATCCAAAAAATGAAAGGACAGCATTGGGGCCTTTAGGAATTTGTCTTTGGTCTGTTTTATCTGGTAGGTATTTATGGAGGAGAATAAATAATAATTTTTAAATTTTTATTATTACGCAGCTGTTGCATACGGTTTTTGTGTATTACTATTTCATTATCAATTTCTCACAAAAATTCGTCATAATGTACTTTTACCTGAAGAGAATGATGCAGGATTTTCTTCTGAAAATTGCATTCAGTATGTCTTTTTATATATAAAGTCGAATCTCGATATAACAATCGGCTCTCCCGAAAGTCAAGGGAGATGAGACTTTATTTGAAAATATTTTATTGAAGATTCTTATTAACTAAAATTTATCATAAATATTATTAAAAGTTTACAAAAAAATTCAAAAACTTTTCAGCTATGGATTTTCCTTCATTTTAATGATTGCTGCATTTCTCAGCCAAAAATGTACTTTTCTACTTGTATTTTTCACATTACGAGGTAAATCTGTAAAAGTGCAAAAATGCGAGAAAGAAAAAACAGACAACAATATTTTCATTTATTAAATTTTTAAACTCGAATATCGGGAATGTTTTGTTTCTGTAGGAGTGGGGGGCTGCAAATTTCAGAATTTCTATTGCAGATTTTTTGAAAATTCCACTACTAGAAACCGCAATATGTACAGTAAAACTTGTATTTTAATAATAAATGCTATTTAATTTTCTATTTATTTTTTCTAAAATTGTATGTATGTATATGTATCTGAGAAATGTCCAAAAAATGTTTCTCTACAATTCTAAAAATTTTGTTTTCACTATAATAGAACACGGCGTTTTAATTCAAGTTTTACGTATTTATTTTAAAAGTTTTTCCTTTATACATAATATTTAAATTTTTAGGTGAAATAAAAATTTGAAAATTTTTATTTAGTTTGTTTTATCGAAAAATATGTAAATACCAATTAAAATACTACTTAAAACATTTTAAAAAATAAATATTTTTTAGTTTTTAAAAGACTTCCCTCCCCCATTTAAAAATCAACCGTCTGATACCTTCTTTTCTTTAATCTCTAGATTTTTTATGTCGACTTCCTTCTTCCTTTAAAATTTTAATTAAAATTTAATTAAATAAAAAATACTTTTTCGCCTTTCTTTGAAGATGACGAGCTCCCTCCATGTTTTGAACTTTTACTATGTTTACTACTAGATTTAGATTTTTGTTTTTTGTGTTCTCTTTCATTTAAATCATCTTTTTTAGATTTTTCTTTTTCTCTTTCCTTTCTTTTTTTACTTTTACTAGTTTCAACATTTTTTTGTTTATGTTTTTTATTTGCTAAAATTTATTTAAAAATTATTTATTAAAATTTTTACCTGATTTGTGATGCTTTTTTGAAGATTTTTTATTTTTTTGTTTTTCTTCTTCAGTGTCACTAGAAATATCAATTGTCTCAATTTCTTTCTTTTCTTCTTCTGGTTTCTCAATTATTTCAAGTTCATTATCTGTATCGTTTCCTTTATTTGTTTCATCTTAAATTGTTTTTTTTTTATTTAAAATCTATTAAATGCGGGTCAGGGCCCTCTAGGCGGAAGTTTTCCGCTATCTTTTCCCGTTCATGAGATAGCCACGCTCCCGGGATTGTTTCGGTATAATATATAAAAATTTAAATTGTTTAATTTATAAAAAATAATTAATTAATCATAATTCAATTTATTCAAAAGTCTCTTTCTTCTAACCTTTTTGTTTACTACCACTTCCAATTTCTTTTTTATTTGTACTTATATTTTGATAATCATTATCTTCTTCAAGTTTAATTTTTACATAACCTCGTATTTCATTTAGCGTTTTATTACGCAAAAATGGATATTTTTCTATTAATGTGTGAAGTTCTTTTAATTGTTCTTCAGTTAATTTAGGAGTTGATTGTTTTTCTTTTTGTTTTTCCAATTCTTTAAAAGTATTTACATCATCTACTTTTTGCTTATTTTTCTCTTTCATTTTTTCTTTTTCTGCAGCTAAAAACTCTTTTTCTGTTAAAGAAACTTGTTTTTGTTGATTATCAGTAGCCGAATGCTGAATTGTTTCAGGGCCAACTTTATTAGTATTCTCTTCAACAATTAAATGTTTTTCTTTTCTTTGATTTTGAATATCCTTATCAACCAATTCCTCCTTTTCTTTTTCAAGATTTTTATCTGAGGGAATTTTATCTTTTTGTAGAGATTTCTTGTCTAATTGTTTTGTAATATTTTCCTCATTATTTCCACCAATTAAATTCTCTTGTTGATTATTCTCTTTTAAATTAGCCTCATAATTCTTTTCTGGATTTTCTTTATTTTGAGTTGTCTCATTTTGTTTTTCATCAATCGAATTTTCCTTTTGTTTATTAATTTTATTATCTTCTTCATTTGGCTCTTTTGGTTTACTATAATCTTGCTGGATATTCCCTTCCTTTTGGTAAATTAATTCTTGTTTTTCTAAACTTTCTTCTGTTGGCTGTTCTTCCTCTAAACGATTCACAGAAGGAATTTCATTTTGTTTTAAATGCGGTTGATTATGACTTTTTTCTAGTTGTTTATCCAGAATTTGTTCATTTGGAAGTTGTTTATCTGTCAAATCTCTCTGTTGATAAATCTCTCGTTGAATAACGTCTTGTTCAACTTCTTGTCCTTCCATTTGATTAAAAGTAATTTCCTTTGGCTGTTCTGAATTTTTGAATTCTGTGTTATTATTTGGATTACTTTCCTTTTGCTTTACTATTATTGCTTGTTCTTTATTTATTTGTTGTTCTTCATCTGAATTTAATAATAAACATACACCTTTGGGAATGGAAAAAGTGGGCGCTCTTCGTACCCAAGGGCCAAACAAACTTAAAAAATGAATTTAAATTTGAGGGTGTATGTAACAGAGATTGGATAAATCAAATATTGGCCAAATAATTCCAAATATTTGATCAATTTTTCAAACTGTTTGATTTAAATTTAATTTTTCCGATCTCTAATATATAATTAATGACTGTTCTTCCTCTATGAGATCCATTTAGTCAGATCTTGTTTTTACATACACCTTTTATATGTAAAAACGAAAAAGGATTGAAAAAGTGTTGAATAATGTCTTGTTCTAAGGCCCAAACAAATCTTTTTCAAATAATATTTGTTAAAATGGAGATTATATATGTAAATATAAAATAGAGATTCGACTATATTACTTGTTTGATCATTAATTTGTTCTTGTAAATTATTCTCATTTTGTTTATCAATTCCTTCTTTTTGATTGTTTAAATGATCAGATCTAGTCTCAATTAACTGACCGTCTGTTGAATTCTGTTGTTCTTGTCCTTTGTTTGTTTGATAATATTTTTGTTGTTCTTCATTTTCCAATATTTGTTCATTATTAGAAGAATGTATTTGTTGACTAGTATTTTGTTGATTAACTTCATTTTGTTCAGATTCATCTACCCGATCCATTAGAATGTCAACGTTTTGTTCGTTAATATTCTGCTCATTATCATCTTTACTACTTTCTTGGTTATCCCTTTTATTTTGTTGGAATTCTGTATAAATAATTAATTAATTATTCGATAAATTTTAATAATTTTATTTTCAATTAAAAGAATATTTTGAAAGAAAACTTTTAATAATTTAAATTAAAAACTTTTTTTCTAACAAAACAAATTAACCTTCAACGCTAATAGCATCATTTCCTACTTTATCTATTAATGTAGATTGATTGTTGCTACTAGAAGAAGTATTGTTTAAATTGGCAATTGGAAGATTAGAAGTTGAAGATGTTTGGGGATTTTGTACTAAATTTGGATTGAATAAAAATATAAAAATAATTATTTTTAAAAATATTTTAAATTAAAAATTTTATTAAACAACGTCGGCGTGGTAAATTTATAAGAAATTCCGAGCTTTCTTGTTCTCCAAACAATTACCCGTGGAAATTTATCAACTCGTTTTTATCTTTCCCCGTATATCTCTTTGATTTTCAATTAAAAGTGGATTTACATAAGTGGAGAACCCCTTTTTAATTACTCGACGGCGGAGACATAAATTCTGAATTTCTCAAAATTCAAAAAACATTTATACCTTCATTATTTAATCTTTCAAGCTTTTTAAAAATTTCCACTGCTCTATTTTGTGATTCTTTTATTTTCTTCAAACAATCATTTGCTTTATTTTCATAAATATTTTCCAATTTTAAATTTTTTTCAAATTCAAAAAATATTCTATTATTATTAACACCAAAAAGTTTCTCAACAATATTTATTGTAAAAATTAATGAATTATTTGATGAGAGAGAAAGAGAATTAACGGCAATAAGGCCTTTAATTATTGTATCCTTAAAAGATTGTAAATTATGTAAAAATTTGTTAATTTAAAAATTAATTTAGAGATATTCTGAATAAGTTTTCGTGTTAGTTAGACAAAATTCTCCTTAACTAATAATGGCTACCAAATTCCGAAACTTTTATTTTCTAAAATCCTTTTTTATATAAAAAATATTTAATTTACTTCATCATTTATAAATTCCCCTTTCACTTTTATTTTATATTCTATTTGTTTGTCCGCAATTTCTTTTATTACTTTTCCTAAATCCTCTTCTAATGATATTTCTCCATTTTCATTTCCATTAATTTCTACCCCATTTTTTAAAAGGGAACATTTAAACCGTTCAGAATCATTTATTCCATTTAAATATTTAAGATTAACGTCAGTCTTCCATTCATTTGAAATATTTAAAATTATTTTGGAATTAAAATTTCCAAAACAAAAGTTAATAATATTATTGGTTAATACCAATAAAAGCAATATTTTTAATTGCATAAAGCAAATATTGTTTTAATTTTTTCTTTCCAATTTTTTAAATTTAAAATTTTGGAAGGAACTAAAAATATTATGTAATTAATTTATTTTAATTATTTTTTGAAAAAATAAAAGATAATTAATCGGGGACTTAAAACTTTAATTATTTAAAAAATTAATTTACAACAAATAAAAATAAATTTTTATATTTTTTAAAAATGAATTAATAAAAATAGGGGGGAGAGAAAGAAAAAGGGGGAAGGAAAGCAAATTATGAAATTAAAGGCGGGGGGTAATGTAAAATTAATTTTTAAAATATTACTCGTGATTTAATAAAAATATTTTTTTAAAAATCGACAAAAAATGCCCTTTTTCTCTTTATTAAATATTTTTCCCGCTTTCACATGATGTCCTTAAAAATCAAAACAGATTTTGAAAACTTTAAAGAATTTGCCGTCAAAAATATTTTTGTGAAAGGTTGCCCTTTTAAATTAAAAAAAATTAAATTAAATTGTTTATTTAAATTTCTGAATTTTAATTGTTGTTAATAATTAATCTTTAGAAATACAATAGTAAATACAGTCGGATAGTGATTTTACTTACAATTTTGAACAAAAAAAACTTGAAGGTAACAATAAGTATCCGACTGTAAATATTCAATTAAAAACAAAAAATTACAAAAAGAGAAAAAAGAAACAGTTAAAGATTATAGAAAAAAAAGAAAATAATTAAAAGCTTTAGAATTAATTAAAAGTTTTTAGGTTATTCCTTTTAAAAGCTCTTCAAAAATAGTTATTTGTTGTTTATGGACTCTTTTTAAATTATGATATATTGTTAGTAGTTGGTGGAGTAGAAGAGGTCATGTTAAACCTTAAAAAAGATTTTTTAAATTTATTTTTTATGCCAGTTATTTGTCTGGTTTTTAAAGAATCTTAATCCTTATAACAAACAAAAATTAAAAAAAACTTTCTCTTACATGCTATAACCAGGCTCGCCAGTAACTTCACGAACAACCTCCAAAAAGTTTGGCAGTGAAGGTGTTGGATCACCAATTGGATTAGTTGTGTAAGTTTCCAAAATTATTGGAGAACCAATACAAGCTGGGGGCAAAGGATGGACATAAATATCCAAATGAAAATACTTTAAAAATAAAAGGGAAGTTTTAAAATAATTTTAAAAATCAAAACTAACAACATTTCCATATGTAAAACATCTTCTCTTTTTATATACAACAGCTCTACTTTTATCCCTCATTTCCAAATAATAATCATATTCACGACGAGACAATTGTTTCCTTGTTTCGACTGGCTCAGGTAATCTAATCGAATTTTTAAAAATTTAAATTTTAATTAAAAAAAGGCTTAAAAACAAATTTTTCTACAAAATTTCAACAAAAATTTAAATTTATTAGTTTCAATTAATAAAATTTTTTTACCTAATCCCATCAGGCCCAAAATAACGTCTTGTTGTCAATGAATAAGTTGTTCGATTATTCTGACATCGTGAACGGATACGCACCTTTAAAAAATAAAAATAAATTTAAATTTCTTTCCCTTCTAAAAATAAATATGGATTCCCAAAAATTGTTTGTATTTATTTAAAGTACTAAAAGCTTTATCAAATTAACCCCCCTTCTCCCTCCTTTTTATCAAAAAATTAATTACTTGATTGTTGCTAAGACTTTGTAGATAAACATGGACAACGTCAAATTCTTCATAATTATTTGCCAAAAATTTATTTTCGTCGATTTTTGAAATTAACCATTTTCTTTTTTTGCTGTGTTTGGCTAAACGATCAAAGGAAATTCCAATCCTTTCTGACACAACACGAATTAATTTCATTATTTTGTCATTAAAATTTTGACAATCAGAATTATCGACAATTGAAAGACATTGATGTCCAATCCAAGCCTAATTTTTAAAATAAATATTATTAGAAGTTTGGACAGAAATTAAACCGAAAAAAGAGGATTTAAAATTTTAAATATTTTTAAAAATAATCTATGGGAGAATTACAAATAAGAGACAATGGCATTACACCCTGTCACTTTATTCCCCCCTCCCCTTTTCTTCCTCAAGAATACACATGTCACTATTACTTTGCACCCTTTGACCTAAAAAAGTATCGGGGACTCAAAACTGATTATCAAATTTCTGTCCCTTTTCAATTTTAAAAATGATAAGAAAAATTAAAAACAAAATATAAATTACTTCTCTAGTCTTTCGATCAACTAAAATTGCTTCCTCCATGCTTTCAGTTCGTGCTTTATTGTTCAGACAAGTGTAGTATTGTTCTGCCCCATCTGCAGCTGTGACAACATGTACAATCTTTAAATTAATCAGAAATTCTAAAAATATTTTTCTTAAATTCAAAAATTGTTTAAATATTAGGATTCCTAAGGAGAAATTAAAATTTTTATAAAAAAGACTGGGGGAAAATAAAATAAAACAATTACTTGATTATATCTATTGTCTCGTAGATCAAAAACGTCTTTCCCAATTTCTTTCAAAAGTTTTATCCACATTACTTTTTCCATATAAGCTGAAGGATCTAAAGCTCCCCGATCACAAATAATTAAAACATTTTGCCCTTTAATCATTTTTGCTTGATTAAAGTAAACCTAAAAATTATTTTAGAATTTATCTAAAATTTATTTAACCTGTTCAAGCTGTAATATTGTTAACAACAAATCTTTTTGAAATTGGTAAGCCTGTTCTGGAGTAAATTCCTGGAAACGAGTCCGGCCTCTCAAAAGTATTGAGGCAGCCTCTGGGACAGTAAAAACCTTTAAAAAATAATTTTTAAAATTTAAATTTCTTAAAAAAACCTTCCATCCAAGCCCCTCAAAAAAAGTAGCCAAACGTTCCTGTCCTGTAGTTTTCCCACCACAAGGCCCACCAGTCAAAACCAATTTATATATTTGCTTATTTGTATCCCCATTCATATATGTATTCAGCATCTCCTCTGCTGATGGGACAGAGGGAACTTTAAAAAATAAAAAAAAGAAATCAATATTTTATAAATAAATTAATTTAAATGCCAAAAACAAGGGATAATTATGCATGGTACATCAGGGATCGCGCCGACCCGATTCACGGAAATCGTGAAAAATTTTCAGGAATTCAAGATTCCCGAATTTCGTGAATTTAATTAATAATGGGACTGTAATATCTAGGGTGTGTAATTATATGGATATAAAATCGGAAAATATGGCCATAAAATATGGATATAAAATCCCGAAATATGGATATAAATATGGAAATAACCACCAAATATGGATATAAAATCTTAAAATATGGACTAAAAAATAGTGAAAAAATATTTTAAAAATCAGTATTTTATGTAGAAAACAATAATTTTGTCTTTAACTTTGTATTTTAAGAACATTATAAAGGATTTTATGAATTTAAAATGTCTGTTAAATTTTTTTGAAATTAAATTTTTCCGAAAAATTTTTGAAAAAATTTTTCGACCAAAAATTTCCAAAATTTTGAAAATTTTCGCAAATTCTTACTAAAATTTACCAAAAAATGACCAAATATGGACCAAAATATGCAAAAAAGGAGAAATATTGATATAAAATATGGAAATAAAGGCTAAATATGGACAAATATGGAAAATATGGGCATAATGCCAAAATATGGAAAAATATGGAAAAT